ACCCCGTCATCTGATGCTCTCACTATGACTCACGATTTAACATATGTGCATGTGCACTATGCAGCTTGAATAGTAAATTAACGATGCACTGACAACTGTTTAGTTTAATAGTTCTAGCAAATGCAAACATGACTTTCGTGACCACTTGTAAAGTCTAACAAAATGGCGATGCACCAACAACTATAACGTCTTTAAAATACTGTTCACAGTGTCTATGTAGGTAATAAATGTATATAAGTTAGGTAAGGTACATTTAATCTATCTAATAAACTTGGGTTACTGACCCTCGTGACTTCGGATTCCAACTAAATTCTAAACGATTGTGCTCAAACGTGCGTTGATTTTTCAACCAGATTGCTTTGAGCTATTCGCAAACTTTGAAATGTTTGACAACGAAGACCTTTCGTTATGTGAATACCAATATGATGATATTGTGTTGTTGCTGCAATATTAAATACATAGACAGGCTACTTTGGTACGTGCTTTGCCTGGGAGCTTTCACTTTAGATGTCAATTATGCAATAACCACTGCTTAGTGTTTCGGGGATTGAATAAGCTAACAGCTCTAGATTTTCCAAATATGTAATTTAGCTGTAAAGTTAGACACGAAAAATTCACGTGAACCTATTGTATTTAGTAAAATGTCTACGTAGTAACGTAGCTACTTATGTGTTAAACAACACATTAGACATATTTTTATTGATTAATAGTAAGTAGGCTTTATTTTCTGAAGAAACTACATTAAAAATAAATAATCGTCTGTGAAAAGTGTTGACTTGATCTGTTCACAGAATAACCATAAATAGTATGGACAACATGTTTACTCGGGGAGTGGTGAAGTCATAAATATTTTTATGCACTTATGTCAGGGTCTGTTTCTCTGTAACCCTTCATTGCCACTGATTCACGAAATCTCATTCATTGCGGGCCGTGGAGGCTTTTGCGTGACCTCAATTTTAAAGGATAAATAAAAGTTATTTATAAACAACAAATAACGATTTATCATCCTTTAAAAATAACCTACAACCTTCAGTACTTTGTATAAAGACTATATTTTATAAACGGTACACTTGCATCAAAGTTGTACGACGTTATCGAACGGCTATTTCCTGATTACTTCATAATAAATCTAGTTTCTGCCTACTTAGTTTATTTCCCAGTGGTGGGTTGATACTGATAGGAAATGAGGTACAGCCTTCGGTTTCAGTCCCTAGCTAGTAGCTACTGAAACAAAGTTTAAATGGGCACGCAGCCACACACGGTACTTCTAGTTATACTTACATTTTATCTTTCTAGTTAACCGTGATAGATAGCCAATGGATTACGTGTTCATAGATGCTTCCATGAAATAAGTTATGAGTTTCTATAACAAATAAAAAAAAACTACAACATATAGCAAAAGCAAAGTAAAATAACCAGTGAAATGAAAATATTCTTCGTATCGTGGAACCTTGGCACTTCTCCACAATAAACACTTTAACTACAAGCTGCATTTTCACGCATTCCTTTAAAATTGAAACAATACAAGTGGTACTTGTTGTAAATGTATGAGTTATTAGTATGACGAATTATTAGTTGCACTAGCCGTGGTAACGACATAGTTTAATTACAACTATTCGCGATAATCCGAGGTGAAAGTGTGAACACAGCTGATAAGTGTCGTTGAGGCGACACGGTCGGCAGCTTGCGATCGCGAATTTATCAATATGTCAAACAAAAATCCAATTGTTATCTATCTAATAACTTATTCTGTGCAGTGCAGGCAACGAAAGCGGTACTTGGAAGTCAGTTGCCCTCGCTCAATGCTTCATAGTTTCGTGAATCGTGATATGAACGTATAGCAAATAATGTGACCTTTGAATAGTATTGGAATTTTGTGATTTGCAACCATGGTCCTGAGGTAAAGCTTAATTGATTTGTCTCATTGTAAATCGATTTCAAACAAATCATTAAACGCTGCCTTTTAAAAAAACGTATAATATTTTGAATGTTTGAGTCGTTGAATGTTACGATTTGAAGAAAATTATTCTGATGAACTAAGGTAAAAAAGTGGGATTAATAAATACAATAACATAAGATAGACATGCGTCAGGTAACTTAATAACTGGAGAAAAGTGAATGTATTTGATATTGTGTTTGCAAACAGAAACAACAAAGTCATATGCACCAAGTATTGAAATTGAGTAAAAGTAGTAGGTAATTTGTAAATACATAACTGTTTTAAAATATCCATTAAAACTTACTGGCTTAGTAAACTGTATCACATTAAAATGCAGTCGCGCCTTATTTTGCGAAAGATATCTCACACCGGCAATTTTCGCCCACACATTGTAATATTGTATCGAATAAGACTGATTTCGGTTCAAGATATCGTTTGATAACAAAATAGAATAATCAGGAAGTTTTTCATAGATTACAATACTTTAAACGATAATGTCATTCTAAAATACAAACAAAGAATTATTACATCAAGATTGAACGCTGAAAAAAAGTAAAGAAGTCCTTAAACATACATTGTACATCGCTTGTCCCCATGAGATGAGAGCTGTAGATTTTTCTGAGACAAAGTAGTAGTAAATATACCTATTACTTATTATCCTTCCTTACAAATAGATTTCAGTTCAGATTCATTCTAGATTCATTTTAACCCTTTTCATGGTCTCTGATTACTTAAATGACATTTGCCACGTTTTTCATTTTCAATGGCAACCTTACTAACTACATAGTTCATCGATCAGTCCTAATGAAATTATACAGTAAATATATTAGAAAACATAAATAAAACACACGACCTCACTGTGACAGTGGTGTCACATGTGAGGTCGTGTGAATACTGACCTTTGTAAAGACAGCATATTGATCGGAACAGAGGCGTAAGGGATCAGGGATGTGTTTGCTCCCCATCGCTAGGCGACTATAAAACTGGAGCAAACCTATTAACTGTGAAGAATACGAACCCTTAATATTTAAGGGACACGATATCTTCAAGTATCCAGTTGTTTGTTTCGTATTTGAACAATTACTTATTGGTATGACAGAAAAGTCGTTCAGTTCCTTTAGTGAAAGTCTTACTAATTTAACTTAAACTTAAAAATAATTTGTTTTGAAGCGATAGGCAGATAGACATAGCTTTTTTAAGTAAACAGACATAGGATTTAATCATTTACGAGCACAATACTAAACACACGACCCTGTGCGTCTACTGAAAATTCTACCTCTAAAATCAGTTTGTCCGTATAACAATCCTAGCCTGTAAAAAACAGATATAACTTTATTTGTAGGTATATAGTGTATCACATGCCTCACTTACCCTTGCCATCGAAGAGGTTACGTGGTTCTCCGTGTGAGTGGAAAGGGGGTCGCCATATTCGCGTTCCATTGACTCATTGCTATATCTGGATTACCTCTTGCGAACTGCAGCCGCCTACTCTCATGCACTGTGTAGGCCTGGTTGAAATTAAAATCATTCCTTTTGATTTATACTCCTTTTAAGAAGCTGTTTGATTTAAACAGTGAACACTGTAATTGAGTTTAAGTCGACGGTGACGTCAACGCTTAATTTAGCGAAGCGATGAAAGAACAGTGAAATGAATGAGTGTGTGAGCTCGGAATGTTGATGCGGCAATTTGAGATTGACTGATTCTTTGTTTTGAGCTTTAGTCAGATTTATAAATGTTGGATTAGATTAGTGTGGATGATCGTAAACTTGCGTGAGAGGAAAGAGAGTTCTTTGATAAAATTGTATTATTTATGCACATTTTTCAATATTAATCAACAATTGATTATTGTCGAAAATAAATTAAGGTAACTCTGAAATGTATTTCAGTTAGAATATGTTTTGTGTACGTTGCGGTAGTAAGATGGTTCGTGTAGCTTCATGAAAGGTTCAGTAGCCGTTGCTGTGGCAACAGTAACGCGGTCACTCGGCCTACTCGATTGTGTCACAGATTTCATGAAAGATTACATTGACAATGTAACATTTTGTATTTTCATATGAAATATTCGCATTCATAAAGCGAATGATTGATAAAATAGCTTGAAGGGTATGATTGCTAAATATTCAATTGATTTCAAACTATATATGTTTATTTTTATGACATACATATGGCTGATAACCTTCGGTCCACATTACTTAGACGTCTCAATCAATACCATTAATAGTTTATGAGTAATCAATATCTAGGTAAGTGGGTTAAGTTAGATTTCATTTTTAGAACGTCTCTTTCGTTTTATGTCAGACAGCGATTAATTGTTGGGTGTTCTATACATACGTACCGACTTGTTGATAGGAGAAGCCGTTTCAGTTTCATGAACCGGCACGACACGGCAGTGCGCGCTGCGAGCTCGACGCCGCTGGGTTCTATAAAACAAATACACACTTCCATGTCCACAAATCACGCTAAATAATAAATGAAATAGGAACAAAAAGTTTTAGGCATTAGATTCTTTGCTAGCGATAAATGTGATTCAAATAGCAAAAGGTTTCCGCGGTAGCCAAATTAATTCTGTTTAACGTCAACTTTAGAGTTTGTATACAGTCTATGTGAACTGTTTAATCTGTGCCAAAATTTCTAAGCGTCGGGTTGATTTTACTTTCCTTTAGTGGCATTGTGAACTGATAAGTTTTAAGGTCTTATATATTGAAATGTATAATAAAAAGCTCATGCGAGTAATGAGTACGCTGAAGCAGTTAATTAAATAGAGAACAGACATGCAGTGCTTCCAGCACCATCGTCTAGTGTCTCTGTAACGGGAGGTAGACGAGGTGAGCGCGATGGCCGCGTGTGATGGCCAACTCACTGACGCTGCCACCTTTGCCGCTGCCCAGAAGATTCCCACTCTCTCTTCATCCTTATCGTGTCAAAAGGTGTGATTTTAGTTAACAATTAGATTAATGTCATATACTCTAACTCTCTCTTACATCTAAATATCTTAAACTATAGGTAGATCAACAAGGCTTGTAGGTAAAGTTTCTACAATTTATATTTTCGTATTTACAGGCGTCATCGCTGCCCACACAACGATGTCCCGGAGCCATTGTTCGATGTGGAGCACACGACCAGCGTGGTCTCCGCGTACAAACGCGACTACGACGAGAAACACGTGACCCGTACTACAGCTGTCCACCACGAGGATCACCTTCGTCTTGAAGGCGATTTCCAAGAGCCAGAGCGTCCTCAGTGGCAACCTGCTGAGCGACCTAAACAAAGGAAACCCGAAGATAACCTTAAGCCTGAAGGAGATTTTGAGAAAAGGCAACCTGAGGAATGGCGTCCGGGTGATCGTGCACCCGTCCGTAGGCCTCATGACAACTTGAGACCAGAAGGCGAATTCACAACTCCCGAAAAAGAACCATGGAGACCTGCTGAGAGGGAAAAACCTAAAAAACCTGAGGATAACCTGAAACCTGAAGGTGACTTTGAGAAGCGACGACCTGAAGAATGGCGTCCCGGAGACAGAGCTCCTACTCGCCGTCCAGAAGATAACTTGAAACCAGAGGGTGATTTCGAGAAACGACAGCCTGAAGATTGGAGGCCTGGTGATAGGGCACCGGTACGTCGTCCTGAGGACAATTTACGCCCAGAAGGTGATTTCGAGAAACGTCGACCAGAAGAATGGAAACCTGGTGACAGGGCTCCCGTGAAACGTCCTGAAGATAACTTGAAACCTGAAGGTGACTTTGAAAAACGGCGACCTGAAGAGTGGCGTCCTGGTGATAGAGCTCCTACGCGTCGTCCAGAAGACAATTTGAAACCAGAAGGTGACTTCGAAAAACGGCAACCGGAAGACTGGCGGCCAGGTGATAGAGCTCCTGTGCGTCGACCTGAAGATAATTTACGCCCAGAAGGAGACTTTGAGAAACGTCGACCGGAAGAATGGAAACCCGGTGAACGGGCTCCAGTGAAACGTCCTGAAGATAACCTGAAACCTGAAGGCGACTTCGAAAAACGTCGGCCAGAGGAATGGCGCCCTGGTGATAGAGCTCCTGTTCGTCGACCTGATGATAACTTAAGACCCGAGGGCGAATTTACAACACCTGAAAAAGAACGTTGGCAACCAGCTGAACGTCCTAAACAAAAGAAACCCCAGGATAACCTAAGACCTGAAGGCGATTTTGAGCAACCGAAGCAAGATGAATGGCGTCCAGCAGAGCGAGTTATTCAGAAGAAACCCAAGGACAACCTTAAACCGGAAGGTGACTTTGAGCAGCCGAAGCATGAGGAGTGGAGACCTGCTGAAAGGCCAATTGCTACAAAGCCTAAGGACAACCTTAAGCCTGAAGGCGACTTTGAACAACCTAAACATGATAAGTGGGTACCAGCAGAACGCGTCACTCAAAAGAAACCTAAAGATAATCTTAAGCCTGAAGGTGACTTTGAGCAACCAAAACCCGAAGAGTGGCGTCCTGCTGAGAGGCAAACACCTAAGAAGCCTCAAGACAATCTACGTCCTGAGGGTGACTTTGAAACACCAAAGCAAGACGAATGGCGTCCTGCAGAACGTGTTACACAAAAAAAACCACAGGACAACCTAAGACCAGAAGGTGAATTTACTACACCTAAGAAGGATGAATGGAAGCCAGCCGAAAGACCTCAACAAAAGAAACCTACTGACAATTTGAAACCAGAAGGTGAGTTTGCAAAGCGACAACCCGATGAGTTTGTTCCTGCTGAAAAGGCTGTAGTGAAAAAGCCTGAAGATAATCTACGACCTGAAGGGGATTTCACAACTAGACGAACTATAACAGAAGATTATAAAGTTGTTACTGGCGAGAGAGCTGAAATTATTCGCCGAACTGACAATATTATTACAGAAGGAGAATTTACAGGTAATTTATCTTTAATTTTGTTTTAAAATATAAATTCATAATATAATTTTACGTTACAAATATATAAATATTTTTTTCCTCAATACCCAAGTCTTATATGGGTAATGTTAAAATTACAACATTAAGGCTCTAACTACAGTTAACAAATACATTACCTATTATGAATAAACTTTGTGTTTTCCTTATCTAATAAATATATATCTCATATTTCAGATACTACAACTTCTCGCACAGAGTATACTATAAAGCCAGTGGAACGACCAAAACCAGTTCGTCGAAACACATGGACGAAGATAGAAGGCGACATGACAACAGAAACAACAAATCAGTCAGAATTTGTTGATTACACTGACACAGTAGAAAGAACAACATTGGTCGCGCGGAGAACAGACAATTTAATACGAGAAGGAGAAATAGAATTTGTTACTTCTAATCAGAAAGACTACCCAGAGAAGGTTACACCAGTTGAACGCCCGAAACGTCGTCGCACGTGGACGAAAGAAGATTTTGAAAAGTTTTATTCTACAGAAGAGCTCGAAAAAATTACTACTTCTCAAGAAGAATACAGAACATACGAAGAAATTGATGTAAGGCAACAGAGAATAATAAGAAAAGATAATCTACACATGGAAGGAATATTTGACAGTCATACTGTATCCCACGATACTTATGGACCTAAACATTCAGAGAGACCAAAACAAAAGAAACCAATTGATAACTTAAAACCAGAAGGAGATTTTGAGCAACCTAAACAAGACGAATGGCGACCAGCAGAGCGTGTCACACAAAAGAAACCTAAGGATAATCTAAAACCTGAGGGTGAATTTGAGCAACCAAAACACGAAGAATGGCGTCCAGCAGAAAGACAGACGCCAACAAAGCCTAAAGACAACTTGAAACCCGAAGGAGATTTTGAACAGCCAAAACACGATGAATGGCGACCTGCAGAACGCGTTACTCAAAAGAAACCTAAAGATAATCTTAAGCCTGAAGGTGACTTTGAGCAACCAAAACACGAAGAGTGGCGTCCTGCTGAGAGGCAAACACCCAAGAAGCCTCAAGACAATCTACGTCCCGAGGGTGACTTTGAAACACCAAAGCAGGACGAATGGCGGCCTGCAGAACGTGTCACACAGAAGAGACCTAAAGATAATCTTAAACCCGAAGGTGAATTTGAACAACCGAAGCATGAAGAATGGCGTCCCGCTGAGAGACAAACACCCAAGAAACCTCAAGACAATCTTCGTCCTGAAGGTGAATTTGAAACACCAAAGCAGGATGAATGGCGTCCAGCAGAGCGTGTTACACAGAAGAAACCCAAAGACAACCTTAGGCCAGAAGGAGAATTTGAACAACCGAAACATGATGAATGGCGTCCCGCTGAGAGACAAACACCTAAGAAGCCTAAAGACAACTTACGCCCTGAAGGTGAATTTGAAACACCAAAGCAGGATGAATGGCGTCCAGCAGAACGTGTTACACAGAAGAAACCTAAAGATAATCTTAAACCTGAAGGTGAATTTGAGCAACCGAAACATGATGAATGGCGTCCCGCTGAGAGACAAACACCTAAGAAGCCTAAAGACAACTTACGTCCTGAAGGTGAATTTGAAACACCAAAGCAGGATGAATGGCGTCCAGCAGAGCGTGTTACACAGAAGAAACCCAAAGACAACCTTAGGCCAGAAGGAGAATTTGAACAACCGAAACATGATGAATGGCGTCCCGCTGAGAGACAAACACCTAAGAAGCCTAAAGACAACTTACGCCCTGAAGGTGAATTTGAAACACCAAAGCAGGATGAATGGCGTCCAGCCGAACGCGTTACACAGAAGAAACCTAAGGATAACCTTAAGCCTGAAGGAGAATTCGAGCAACCGAAACAAGAAGAATGGCGTCCAGCAGAAAGGCAAACTCCAAGAAAACCAAAAGATAACCTAAAACCTGAAGGTGATTTTGAACAACCTAAACATGAAGAATGGCGTCCTGCTGAAAAGCAAACACCAACCAAACCACGTGATAATTTGCGACCAGAAGGTGAATTTGAAACGCCCAAGCAAGAAGAATGGCGTCCAGCTGAAAGAGTTACCCAGAAAAAACCTAAAGATAACTTAAAACCTGAAGGTGAATTTGAACAACCTAAACATGAGGAATGGCGTCCAGCCGAGAGACCAGTTCAAAAGAAGCCCCAAGATAACCTCAAGCCAGAAGGAGAATTCGAACAACCAAAACATGATGAATGGCGTCCCGCTGAGAGGCAAACTCCTAAAAAGCCTAAGGACAACTTACGCCCTGAAGGTGAATTTGAAACCCCCAAGCAGGACGAATGGCAGCCAGCGGAGCGTGTCACTCAGAAAAGGCCTAAGGATAATTTACGACCAGAAGGTGAATTTGAACAGCCGAAGCATGATGAATGGCGTCCAGCAGAGCGTGTTACCCAGAAGAAACCCAAGGATAATCTTAAACCAGAAGGAGAATTCGAACAACCAAAACATGACGAATGGCGTCCCGCTGAGAGACAAACACCTAAGAAGCCTAAAGACAACTTACGCCCTGAAGGTGAATTTGAAACACCAAAGCAGGATGAATGGCGTCCAGCAGATCGTGTTACACAGAAGAAACCTAAAGATAATCTTAAACCAGAGGGTGAATTTGAGCAGCCGAAACATGATGAATGGCGTCCCGCTGAAAGACAAACACCCAAGAAGCCTCAAGATAATCTTCGTCCTGAAGGTGAATTCGAAACACCAAAGCAAGATGAATGGCGTCCAGCTGAGCGAGTTACGCAAAAGAAACCCAAAGACAACCTTAAACCTGAAGGAGAATTCGAACAACCGAAACATGATGAATGGCGTCCCGCTGAGAGACAAACACCTAAGAAGCCTAAAGACAACTTACGTCCTGAAGGTGAATTTGAAACACCAAAGCAGGACGAATGGCGACCAGCAGAGCGTGTCACCCAGAAGAAACCCAAGGATAATCTACGACCAGAGGGAGAATTCGAACAGCCTAAACAAGATGAATGGAGGCCTGCAGAGCGCCCTGTTCAGAAAAAACCAAAAGATAATCTCAAACCAGAAGGGGAGTTCGAGCAACATAAACCAGATGAGTGGCGACCAGCTGATAGACCCATTGCAAAGAAACCTCAAGATAATTTGAAACCAGAGGGCGAATTTGAGAAACCTAAACCTGATGAGTGGCGTCCTGCTGAACGACAAACGCCTAAGAAACCTCAAGATAATTTAAGACCGGAAGGCAAATTTGAAACTCCTAAACAAGATGATTGGCGTCCTGCAGAAAGGCCCGAAGTTAAAAAACCGAAAGATAATTTGAGGCCGGAGGGTGAGTTTGAAAAACCAAAGCAGGATAAATGGCAACCAGCTGAAAGGCAAACACCCAAAAAGCCACAAGATAATCTTAGACCCGAAGGTAAATTTGAACGACCTGAGAAACCGAAGCATGTTGTTGGCGAAAGACCTGTCCAAAAGAAGCCAGAGGATAATTTGAAACCCGAAGGAGACATGGAAGTAGTACGAAGAACTGATTACACTGCAACCAAAGGAGACAGAGTAGAAGTAGTTAAACATGAAGATCATTTAAGAATGGAAGGAACTATTGATACTCATCGTTCACGAGATGATTACAAGCGTATAGAGAAAACCGAAAAAGTTGTCATTCAGAGACACGAAGATAACTTGAGGACCGAAGGTGAGTTCATTGACCTTACTGTTCGAAACGACTACAGTGCTACGAAAGGTGAGAGGGCTCCTGTTGTGAAGCCTCAAGATAATTTGAAACCTGACGGTAAATTTTACAAACCTGAGGTTGTTCCATCTAAACCAGCTGAGCGACGCAAACCATTTAAACAGGTCGATAACATCACTATTGAAAGAGATGTTGATTTACGCCAACGTCAAAAGATTGAGCGGCTTGATATAATTCGAAGAGAAGATAACTTAAAGATTGAAGGGGAATTTATTGACATGAAACAAAAAACTGATTACAATAAGGTCGTAGGTGAACGGGCTGCTATTGTAAGACATGAAGATAATTTGAAAATGGAGGGTACAATGGAAAATGTTCGTTCATCTGATACGTATCGTGTCGTTAAAGGACAAAGAGTGAAATTGACTCGGCGTGAAGACAACCTGAAAATTGAGGGAGTATTTGAAGATCATACGCGAAGGGATGATTATAAGGTGACTAAAGGTGAAAGGTCGGCTATTGTCTACCATCGCGATAATTTAAAACCCGAAGGTGAATTTGAAAAAAGACCTAATGAACAGATTGAACCTGGTGTAAAACAATATCCGATTAGATATCCCGATAGTTTGAAATCCGAAGGTGACATTGAAATACCATCAAAACCAAAATGGGAACCATCTGAACGACCTGATTTAATTAAACATAAAGATAACTTACGTCCAGAAGGAGATTTTCCAAGTCGTCCAAAAACGCAATGGCAGCAAGGAGAGACGCCAGAACAAGTACGCCCAAAGGATAACTTAAAACCTGAAGGAGATTTCCCGAGCCGCCAAAAAACTCCATGGCAGCGAGGTGAAACGCCAGAACAAGTGCGCCCAAAGGATAACTTGAAACCTGAAGGAGATTTCCCAAGCCGCCCAAAAACTCAATGGCAGCGAGGAGAAACGCCAGAACAAGTACGCCCAAAGGATAATTTAAAGCCAGAAGGAGATTTTGATAGGCCCTCACGGCCGAAGTGGGCAACGTCGGAGAGGCCGGAACAAGTGAGACCTAAAGACAACTTACGTCCTGAAGGTGAATTTACAGATAGGCCTAAAACTCAGTGGCAGCCTGGTGAGACACCTAGTCAAGTTCGACCTAAAGATAATTTAAAACCAGAAGGCGATATGGATTCGCGTACCCCTCAAAAATGGGCTCCAGGTGAAACACCAGCACAAATTCGTCCAAAAGATAACTTAAAACCTGAGGGTGACTTTGATCGTCCTTCTAGACCTAGATGGTCACCTGGTGATAGACCTGAACAAGTAAGGCCAAAGGACAACTTACATACCGAAGGTGAGTTCACTGACAGGCCCAAAACTCAGTGGCAACCCGGTGAGACACCTTCTCAAGTTCGGCCTAAAGACAATTTACACCCTGAAGGTGACATGGTTTCACGTACGCCATCTAAATGGGCCCCGGGAGAGACACCTTCTCAAGTTCGTCCTAAAGACAATTTGAAGACAGAAGGTGATGTTAGTTATCCGTCAAGGCCAAAATGGGAGACTGGAGATAGACGAAGTCCAGTTAAGCCAAAAGACAACTTATATCCTGAAGGTAACATGGATTCACGAACTCCAACAAAATGGGCTCCAGGAGAAACTCCAACTCAGGTTAGGCCTAAAGATAATTTGAGGCCAGAAGGTGATTTTGAACGGCCAGGACCCCAGAAATGGAGCCCTGGAGAAAAGTCAGGACCTGTAAGACCAAAAGATAACCTTTACACCAATGGTGATATAACAAAGCATGACACCAGCAGAACACAAACGAATGACACAACAAGAAAGACTGTAGAAACTAAGTCTATTAGTGGTCGTGATGATCATGATGTTAAATCTCAAACAGTTTCTCGTCATGATACTCATATACATCGCGATGATCAATCTCATACGTCTCACTCGGAGACGCACGTGCGGCGATCCCACATCACTACTGATCATTCTACTTCAAAACATACTCATTCTGGTACGCACGGCAAGCATATTATTACATCACATGATGTGGTTGATCGGAGTGGGTCCCCGAAACCTGTCGAACGGGTAACTACACCCCAAGATAACATCCCTGACAGACATAGAACTGTGGGTATTACAGATCGTTCTGTGTCCCGTAGTAGTACAGATAGAACTATAGTCAATAAAACTGACACTAAAAATCTGAAGACACTCACTACCACAACCACCAAAACTATTAAACAAATAACAGAAAAGAAGCTTAGAGGAGGTAAATGGGTGAATGTAACACGAAACGTTGAAGTAGACGTAACTGAAGACACTGGAAAATTCACACCTCAGCAATCTACACCGAAGAGAGATGTAGATGATCGTACAAGCCGCACTCGGCAAACAGGAAGTGACACAAACACAACGCAGCGAACCGTGTCATCTGATTACGTCACAACATCTTCTACAAACGAAATCAATAATACAACACATGGGCCAAGAGGTACACCACACGGATCATCTATTCTTGTGGATCAACAACATTCTCGATCCAACCAACAATATATTGATAACAGTCAAAGAATTCATTCATCAGCACAATCTGTTGTTTCTTCGTCCTCAAGTCAAAACGTAACAAATCAACACCACACAACACATAGAATTGTTGGCAGTTCAAATATCTCTCGTGATCATGTTGGTCAAAATACCCAACACTCAACCACTGACAGTCACATTTCCAGAGGAGGTGACACGACTCAGAGGATTATATCATCTGATCATTCTGGCAGGCAATCCAACCAAGGACACGTCACTGAGAGTCACATTCAGAGAAACGTCACCTCATCAACACAAGTCCACAAAGGGACTCATTCTGAACAACATATATCAAGATCAACTCAACATTCGACTAATAGAAATCAATTGAGTGACAGCGTTACAAAAACGAGTATAGAATTCCAGAGAGCTATGCACGGTGGTGGTAATGAACCTCCGGCCAACGTTATCGATAGCTCTTCGCGTAGCGGACATCATAAACGCACTTCTGACTTGGTATCCGATTCCAATTCATCGAATGCAATTTTACACCGCAAAGGCGTTCATTCAAACACTGAAGCTCATCATTCGATAAGTTCAACAGCTGCTGCACAGAGAAAGAGCATCGGTAATCTCTCCGAACGAGGTGAATACATAAGTAACTCGACGCACAGCACAGACAGAAAAAGCATTAGTTCTATGCACAGATCAACAAGAGATAACACGGCTGTCATTTCACAACATGAAAGTTCGGATGCTCGTCGTAATCAAATAAGAAGAGATGGGCAGTCTACGCTAGCGACCGACCGTCAGCAAACACGAGTTGTTAGAGATAACTTGAGAGTAGGTGGTGATTTCTATGGTCAATCAGAAGCTCGATCTTATGGAAGTTTTTCACGTTCCGAACATGCTCAGAAAACGGATCGTACTGAACGAGTTGAGCGCGTGGAACGGGTAACACGCCACGGAAACGCTTCAAACTTTGTCTTGGGAGACGGCAGCACTAGTTACAAGCGAGAATTTACATCCCACGTCCATGGAACTTGTCCTGCTACATTGATCGATTCTGGGCGCACTCCTTTCAAACATACGCGTGATTCTCGCGAACATAAGTTTTATGCGACGAAAATAACGCAGCAGCAATAAATATTTCTGTTGTAGCATCAGCCTAGAAAAGGCTAAAAATATTTCATTCCCTATTATTAATTATTATAAAGCTTATTTAATGTAATCCTGTTAATGTTATTTACTGTACACGCATTCTAACCTGCTAGTCTTAATTAACCATGCCTTACTATTATGCATAATGTAATAATTTGTTAATTTAACAAGTTTCTATATTGTTTTGTCAAACATTGCCATGCAATAAACTTTTATATAATTAAGGGAGTTGTTTTATTTCAAACTGTTGATTGCCCAAACAACGTACCGAAGTAAGAGATAAGTAATGCAATAATGACTGCATGGCTGGCGCGGTGACTAGGCAACCGGCTGTCGCTCAACGTGTAGCGGGTTCGATTCCTGCACGGAACAACTTTTTGTATGATCCACAAATTGTTGTTCCGGGTCTGCCAGTCTGCCATGTATATGTCAACTTGTAATGTCGGAATACTGAAACTTTACTCAATTTTAAGTCGTGCTCAAATATCGTGCCATCTCTGTCATTTGACAAAGAATTTGTAGTGATAGAACTATACTTAAGCACGACTTAAAATTGAGTAGCGTTTCAGTATTCCGACATAAGTTTGTAAACGCACCCACGACACAGAAAACAAGCTTAATGTCAGAGTCTGACACTCCCTCCCGCCTCACCCAGGCTGGAGAAGTCATTCGATGATTTTCCCCCCTTAAAAAAAATGTGGGGCATTAAACAAAAGAATTAGGTTAAAATAAATTGGGCCACTAAGGTACACTTATACGACGACTTAAATGTTATTTTGTGTTGAGCCATGTAAAACTGTTATTATCATAAAATTTAATACAAAACAGTAATTAAAACCTTTGTATTAGCTTCATGGTAAAAAACAACAAAAAAACAGAATATCATTTCGGGCTTGCAATCATCAAACCAAAACTTCTTTTGTTGTGTGTGGTGTGAGAGCCTGTTTGGTATTTTAAATTACTAGATTTTTTTGAGGGGGGAAAATCATCCAATGTCTACTCCCGCCCAGGCGAGAGGGGGACTAAAAACAACCCCGTTCCTACTCCTGCACTTCAAACCGGAGCCCCGGCAACTCATTAAGCCCTGCGCGGCTCCGTATTGGCATCAGCCCCATGGGCCCCATCTGTGGTGGTCAGATGGCTCCTTGAGGCGCAATCAAAACGCGACGCGCCGTACGCTCGGGTCTGGTTCTGGTCGGACGGCGAGTTACCCGTGCTCGCCGTCCGCAGGTCCATGCTTAGGCTGCGTTTCCATTGACGCGGAGCTGGGCAGAGAGGAGCGGACGAGCGGTGAAAAGTAGTCAGTGCTTCCACTGAAGCAGAGCGGACTGAATAGGAGCACAGCGAATATCGGAATTGCGCATTTTTGAGCTTAGTTACAATCAACCTTTCAGAAACGCAATATGTCTTGTTGTTTAAAAAGAAAAAAGCAATCATAATCAAAACAAATCATATGTAGCCTTGACTGTTGCCCTTGCTGTCCTCCGCTCAGCACTGGCCCGCTGTATTTTTATCATGAATAACCGGTCATTTCTGCTCCACCCCGCTCATGCTGTTTCCATTAAAGTGGAACAGAGATTTCGACCATAGTGATTGGTCAATTCGCGCACCGCTAAGCTCCTCTCCGCCCCACTTCGCGTTAGTGGAAACGCAGCCTAAGGGTGCAGTTACATTGAGGCGGAACGGAGCAGAGCGAAGAAGACCCGTGCCGCGATTCACCAATCACATGGCTTGACCATATTGACCATAGAAATCACCACCTACTCTTAAGTTATCTCTAACAACTCGTGTTTGCTGACGGTCGGAGATGTGGATTTCAAGCCATGTGATTGGTGAATCGCGGCACGGGTCTTCTTCGCTCTGCTCCGTTCCGCCTCAATGTAACTGCACCCTTACCGTGGCCGGAGATCTCGCGATCACCGACGCCCGGAGTGTCTCTCGCGACGGCTAGGGCGTGACTGCGTGAGGAGGTTCATTTACTCACGTGCCCCGCCTCATCCTTAGCTGGCTAGACTAAGTTAATATTTCTAGTAACTTCAAATACGGTACCAAAAATCACAGTAACTTTCCGAAATTAAATAGAATTTAGGTAGTGAGAAACAAATATAAGCAGAAGTAGTCAGTAGAACCAGTGGTAGTAGGAGGGATAGTGAAATTATTATTTATTAAAAAAACTCACATCTTTAAGACTATTTATTTATAAATGTTTACATAACAGTACCTACAAATTATACATGGTTATTTAAAATTAGTTAGTTTAATATAGGTATCGAAATATGCACTTTAGCGACTTTAAAATCAGTTAACATAGCATTAAGTATGCCTTACATATTAAAATTTTTGAAATTTATATTACAATTTTGTACGATAGAAAAATAACTTTTTAAATAACCTTAATATTTGAATACTTATAAACAAATACGTAATACAAATAATGTAAATTAAAGTTAAGTACAAACTAATGTATTGAACGCAAACATAATTTAAAATACTTAAAAATTATTTAATGTCACCTTTAAACCTTTACCTCTCTGCTAGCCATCAGAAGGAGCAAGTTCCTGGGTATTATGAGATTGTTTCACCCGTCTTATTCTCTTGTATCTAGCTAAGTCACCATCATAGTTTCGTGGGAGAGCTCCAAATGCATCATTCTCTTGATATTGCGGAGCATTGAAGTAATTTTCTGAAACAGATTTTAATTCACTTTCAAGTATTGAAGTAGATGGCTCTAACTTGGCCTCCGCTGAGTCATTAGGGCCATTTTCAACTGTGCGTCTGTTTCTCGTCCCACTACTAAACATAAGATTGTCATCCACGCCCTCCACGCCAGATAAAACACTATCCGTATCTGAGCCGAGACTCATTGTGTCGCTTTCTAGATTTTCACGTGGTAGTTTGGAGTTATCAATAGTGTTTTTAGCTGGTATAGTATTATCGGCATTGGCGACCTCGTCTTCTAAACCTTTGTTGCCATTGGCGAAGTTAGAAGTGCGATCATAAAAACCTTCATCGTCGAACTCATTACCCTCGTCGTTATCCTCATCCTCATTCTCTGCTTTGTATGGAAAATACGCTACTTTAGCATCTGGCAAAAGACCAGCTGCCCTTTTTTTAATGATTTGGTCCGAATTTTTTCGTTTTACTCTTACTAATGGACCAGAGTAAGGTGCTGAATCTTCATACGAATTTGAGTTCGGGAACGATTCCTCCAATGATTTCATAGATTCTGATAAGTCAGGTTGTTTTTCAGGATAAGCTTCCCTTTTATATGTTTTACCTTCTTGGCGAATTTGTTGGTCGTCATCTAATTTAGATAAGTTATCTTCCTGAGGGCAGAAGTATCCCTGGTCACCAGCATAGTCTTGTGCATTTTGAAGGTTCAAATCATTTTCTAATATCTTGGGTTCATCGAATGCCTCCAAATCTTCTAAATTGACTTCTCTCTTATTTTCCGTTTTCGTTGTAACTTGGACATTAGCAACAATCTCGCCTTGATTTTTCGGGTCTAAATTAATAGTAAATGAATTTAGATTGTCTGATTTTTTCTGTTGAATAGCTTCATCGTTACGTAGTTCTACTTTATTGGCGGTGCTTACACTGGTTTCAGCGCTCTTTGGAGTGGATAAGTCTACAGCTTCAGTAGGTCCTCCTTCTGGTTGTTTATTGCTAATTTCTGTGGTTTCACTATTTGACACTGGAGATGGTTCTGTATTTATATCTGAAACAGGGCTACCACCTTGTACTTTACTCAAATCTGATTGACAGTTTTCAATATAATTATTTTCTTCCACCGCTCCCGCTTTCTTCGTTATTTCTCGTTTGTTTATGAATGCATTGTCGCTTGCATCTACGTCATCGATTATCTTCTTCAATAGTTCTCTTTTTTCATCGGTAAGGGAATTCAGAAGTTGGTCTAATTCCTCTCCAGACAGTTTTTTTATGTGTCTTTTGATCGCAGTCTCTTCATCTTCACTGTCTGTTTTCTCGTTGTTTTCCTTACTGCCTGAATTATTGGATACATTTGGAGTGTCTACTGGGTCAGCTTCCTTTATATCCCGTCTATCTCGAGAGGTGTAAGATACACTGTCACTACTTTTGTCCTCGATCACATTATCTCTATTTTCAGCCTGCATGGTGTTGTAGTACCGTTTATAATACCCTGACTGATCATTAGGGTCAGAATCTTCACTGTTACTATATCCGTTCTTATTAGCTTTGTTTACTTGATCCCTATTTTTTTCAAACAACATTTCACCTTCTTCGTTGGAAGGACCTTCAAAATCGACAGTTCTTTTATTGATTTGATTATCTGCTGGGTCCTGTATGATACGATTGGATTTGTTGACATCACGATTGGTCAAATGTTGTGTTGCTTCTTGCTGATCGTCAGTGGATTCGATGTATGTGTTTGATTGGCGACTCCTAGGAAATTGTTGAAGAGGTTCGTTAAAATGAGAGGCCTCGAGGCTGTCTTCACGAGTTTCTCGATTTCGATCGAGTTTAGAATCTGTGAGCTGTAAAAAGTAACATTTAATTATTAACGTGCATTGATTGTCCGCAATAAAATAATGGTGAATGACTTCGTTGAGCTCTCGACACGGGAAAAAGATTTCATTTGATGCATAAAAGATAAAAAAGCGCCAACGAAAAACAAATGAATAACTTACGTCATTATCCGTTTTGGTTCTGGCGAGGCGGTCATCGGCTGAGTTGCGTTGTAGATACCGGCTCTCTGTTAAATCGAGCAGGTGTCTACTGCGCGGTACCTCACCCTCCTCTTGAACACCAGGTTCCTGTAAATTAAATTATGTATTGAAATAACGATTTTTTGTTGATACATTCAAGTGGATATGCAGGACGTCTGTCGGGTCCGCTAGTAAGTTTATAAAACTCACATTCTCAGTCAGGCGTGATTCATCTTCTTCGCTCAGAAGGTCTTCAGCAGTTGGTTCACTCTCTTCTTCTTCTTCTGCCTCATCCACGTCGCCGCTGTAACAGCGACAACATGATTTATTTATTGAATGCTCAATAATTCTGCCTACTTGGTACAAATTACCTTCATGACGTATTTGAGCATATCGCGGTTACTTTTTGAATAGGCGACTTACATATTACTGTATTGTTTTTTTTTTTAATTTATATTATGTGGTGCTACTTGGTTATTCATTTTCTAGAATTATCCAATGACTAACCCAGCCCATTTTAAACTTTGTTATTCATCAGACTATCGAATAAGTTCCAACCTGATAAAGGTGGACGGACATCAGAGAATAATGAACATTGTATGAATCTTCTATCAGCGTTCTATTTGTTCTTTTTAAATTTTACTTGGAGAAAAATAGTTTTTCATAAATAAACCAGTTACCTGTCATTACTGTACTCGGCCTGTTGTGGTCTGCTAAGAATCTGGACGAGAAGACTCCCAAATAATATCAATACAAACCAAGAACGCATTTTTGCAAAGTCACACAAAATTCACTTAAAAAATATGAAATTTGACAATTGGGCGCAAAATTTGAATTAGTTTGACAGTTATTTTTATTTTTCCAGCCAGTTGGAGATATAATTGAAAAAAATAATACATCCGATTAATGAGGTTGAATTAAATATAAAGCTGTTTACGTGATGGGATCAAGGTGTTTGTGTGTGTGACTGACTCTTATCATGACCAATGTGGCCAAACATGTTGTACTGGGTGAATATAATATTAGATACCTTGGTATCGTTTCAAAGCTAGGTACTATATCTGATAGGCCGACGTTTAATCTAGTTAACAATGTTTCCTAGTTTCTTACTCGTTCTTCTCCGTAGGCATCTACACTTTGGAATGAGCAACTAGCGTCAATTCTAAATTTTTGTTGTTGACGTTCAAAAGGTTTCCTGGTCTTTTTTTTTTAATGGGACAAGCCCGCCACAACCTCCCAAAACCGCTGCAACTCCTGTAAGCCAGGATCTACAGTAGATACAGCCATGAAAACACCTGGTTTCCTGGTCTAATTGAAATAAATGATTTTGACTTTTTTTGACCACCATCTCGCCACCGTAAGCGATGATGCGGTCTACGATGGAGCACGTCGTCCCATATGTAACCTATTCACTGGGGCTTTGAAGACACCCAGGTTATTTATTACCCAGGTTATTATATATACACCCTTCAGGAATTACAGACCCTCGCAAAGAATACTATATTAGCCAATAATAAACAAAGCGTTAGTTACAACCCCAAGTAATGACCTGACAGGTTCAGCACACATTGTGACGCTTTATCGCTGACAAAAGGTATAGAACTAGTTTTTATACTTAGCAGAATTAACTAAAATCGCGGGTTACTCACGTGAATATAGTGAGAAGCTCTACAAGTTTCGAACTACAGAGGGGTTCTTCCTCACGAGCAGCGTGCGCGGTCGCGGCGATGTAGCGCAGCCTACCAGCTACGATGTAGGTTTTCTCAGTATATTCACGTGAGTAACTTGCGATTTTTAGTTAATTTAGTATGTCTCACGAAAGTTATTACAAAAACTTAGCAGAGTTGTCTAGCGAAGTTTTATTTCTGGTTCATTTGCTATTGCAATGTATTATTGCTTGCATATCCTATATACAAATTTTGCCCTTTTTATTGTACGGAGGTTCAACATCATACGACTGATGTGCAGATTCCACTGTGACTGAAATAATAATCATTTAGACGTTTCAAGAATGTACCAGATAACTAGACTCCTGCAGCTCTAGCCAAATGCCATTTAGCGCTTGTCTACATGTAGAATAGAAAACCAAATTATATGGAATTGACGTAAATTTTGACACTTGTCAGGGTCATCGCCATACATTTTGATTTCTACTCTCTCTGTAGACAAGCGCTAAAGTGGCGTTTGGCTAAAGGCCCTGGATTGGAATTAGCGATAAAATAGTCTGCAAATGGATATGCAGAGATGGTTTGTGTAAAGCAGAATGTTATGATTTTTGTACCTGCATAGACAAGGCAGAAACATTAAGGTGGTGATGAAAAATAAACAAATACTTACAACAACTTTATTTTAAATGAGACCGTTTCATCTCTATCACACTTATGTACATTTGGTTTAAATAAAACAAACCTTTGAAACATTTTACCGCAAAATCTTCATTAAGTTTGTGCATATTTGAGAAAAAACATATGTCCTATAATTAAATGTCGTATGAATTCATAGATTTAAGAATTGTAGAAATACTCGATCACACAGATTGGTGTCTCGTTGCTTCCAAGGGCATCGAAAACATTCTCATAACTGCACATACATTTTATCCTATTACTATTTATAACTTAACTCCAAAATGCAAAAGGTAAAAAAATCCAACAGGTTTTATAACTATGAGTACTTTTCAAATGCGTGGCGTTAGTAGAGCGGCCGGGCCACGCAGTCACATAGTCATACAGTCACAGTCACCCAGTCACGTAGTCAGACAGTCAGTCACATGTCTCGTGGCGCGCCCGCTCTACTACGCACGGCATTGTCACGCACAGTCGCAACTGAACATTCACAATTTAGACTTTGTACTTTTCGAATTGAATAATAAAATAACATGGACATTATAAAATTCAATGAACAGTGTCATGACAGTCGAAACATTCCAACACATACTCCATTTATTGCACCTGACTCAAACTCAAAATCAAACCCGACCGATATTCGTGAACTTCTGCATTTGGCAGACACTAGCTTATATAACATGTACATAATGTATCTAAATTTAGAAAACACTATTTAAAATTTAATAAGAAAAGAAACTTACTTTTAACGTCAGATTAGGCTTCACAATGAATTATGTTGTGCTTTTTACTTTATCACAATTATCGTACATTAACTATTTATACAGTACAAGTATATCATCTGTCATACAGTACATACCTCTATGGCGGAATTTTAAATAAAACTTTAAAACCATAACAACACGAACAGTCGTAAATCTGCGTACACTGTACACAACGTAAACGATATACAATACATACTTATGTTGCAATAGATATGACTTTTGTAAACGAGCAGGTATCAAATAGCCGCGGGAGGCCCGCTCGTCCCCGCTCCGGTACTTTCTATACACATATTGTAACTAATCACTGTATTCAAATTGCCTCATAATTGTAATGGAATGAAATCTGTACATTTATAATCAGTTGAATTGTATGAATCTGTTAAAACTTCCTGAACATAATTTGATGACTAGACTCTTAAAACATAATATAATGAGCATTTACAAAACAGAAAAACACAAATGTCTACTTGTATGTCGGTGCACTCGTAATATTAACTGGACGTCCGTATTCAAATAATTTCAATGTCATACATGTATTATAAAAATTATAGAATTATAAGCTCATATAAAGAGAGAAAATATATATATAAATTAATGTTACGAGTGCAAGGTGTATTTAACAACTAAATATATCAAAACTTAATAACTATATAAAGTTTAACTTCAGATAGTTACTGTTCTATTAACAGAGAACAAGGATATGATCTAGCATCGAGTATCTGTCGGAAACTAATTGCGAACGAATGTGTAACTTAGTCACAGGGGTATAGAGAACTATTCACGTTTACGTTGTCGTTTCGTTATTTAGATGCTAAAGTATGGGTGTGGTTATTAAAATCGTTATTTTTGAAAGACGAAACGTAAACGTTAACAACTCTGGAGGAAACTGCTGGCCAGATCGAATGTGGGCTAGCTACATTAAAATAATGAAATCGGGTAGCCAGCGATGGGATGTCGCACTTGTCGTGCAAAGATACGGTCCAACCGTAAGAATAAATTGACAACTATTCAGTCGAGACATTTCCGTAAATGCTAAATCATACATTGAGTACGATTGAAGTATACAGACAGGGCGAGGAATGCCATGATAAACTGTTGCGGTGTTAAGATAGAGTTAGCGACAAAAGTCGAACAAAAGGCAGTAACGTCAGTAAAACTCGCTCTAGAAGAAAACCGCATTGATGGCATTCCCAAAAAGGCTAAGTATTCTTAACCTGTGATCTTGTACGTGCTTGAAAGATTATTTATTTACAAAAATATTTCATGTCATTATAATAAAATTGTACTTTTATCAACAAAGTAAACAACTAAAAGGTGCTCGTGGCACAGGAAATAATCAAATTTCTCAATACAGACGTATCGCCCTACACATCTGAGCCCATCGCTGGCTATCCGGTATACAAATTGTACAATGAGGGTTTCAGTTTCAAAGACGTGTTTACAATCACAACACGGAAACAAAGTGATGTGTAAAGACTAGAGCATACTCACAAAAGTATTGAATGATAGTCTTACAACGATTTACTGTCCAGCACGTCTACTTACTATAATGATACTTGAACTGTGACGTAGATCATACGACAATAAATCCTTACAAAACAAAGTGTGAGCACTGCTACCCTTTACCTACATGATTAGACCAAGTATAATAAAAAAATAAAAAATCGAACTTACATAATCGATGTATACAATTCGAGCCGCGCAACCATACATACGCACATATTTAGATATGTTTGCGACAAAAGCTTATTAAAAACCTCATAAACAGCATCCCTCTTATTTACAATGGCTTAGAATGTTTACACTAAACAACTATATTCAGAAAGGAATAGGAGATTGAGACACAATGTACACATGCTACATAACAGAGGAAAGCTCGTGCTATACCAGTGTAATCAGTGTAGACTGCTCGCTCTACTCAGTCGCTGCTTGACGCTTGAGCAATCACTGAACGACAACATTCATGTCTAATAGAAATACGGTGCTCTCAAGTATTAAAACCAGTTAACAATTCGTTAAACGACGCAACCAAGGATTCGTAGTTATACTAGCATGCAACATTAGCGATTTAAATGCAATTTCATCAAAAGTTAACACTTTTAGTTTTTTTATGTACAAAGAAATCACTGTCAAGAATTTGACATAGAACAGTAATAATAAAAAACTCGATCGAATCCGAATCAATTTCCTAATGATATTCGAGTAAATTATTCACAATACTAATAAAAATAATCACCTCGGGCCGCACACGAATCGTCCACAAGTCGATCGTCACCGTTTCGGAACTAACTCTACTTACCTACCCCTTCGACATAGAAACATGAGTAAAACGCTTAACCACAATGAACACTTGGATCCGCAGCGGAATGTGCAGCGACGTCGGCGGAGGGGGGCGGGGGCGCGGGGCGCGGGGGGCGCGCGCCCTACTACAAGCGGTCCAGGCGGAACCCGTGCTCCACGTCCGAGTCCGGCACCAGCGCCGTGGGGTCCTCCAGCAGACTGAGGTCGTCCAGGTCCAGCCCCGCGCGCAGCTGCGCCTCCTCGCCACCGAACATGCCCGCGTCCAGCTCGCCCGAGTAGTCTGTAAAAAGGGAATGAAGATGCTGAGCAAATGGGAACTATCGACATGTTTTAATTTTTTTCTCTAACAAACGCACAGTGCAAACGCGCTTCGATTGGATAAATGCAATGTCTATCATTAACAATATCTCAAAGCAATGTCTATCATTAACAATATCAACGTTTCCGGGGCCCCTTTCAGTAAGGGCTATAGTCCATAAAGTTATTAGTACGTACCAGTGAGCACGATGTCGGGTATGCTGGCGGGCGTGGCGGGCGTGGGCGGCGCGGAGGGCGAGGCGAGCGGTTGCAGGCCGCCCGCCACCGGGTCGCGCGCGTTCCGTCGCCCGCACCCCATGCCCACGCCGCTACCGCTGCCGCAACTCGTCGCCGTCGACTGCAACATAATATACAGACAATAACTATCAAATCTCAGTAAACCATTCCTATTTCAATTTCTATCCCTTTGTTATACTTTGAAAACGGATTTATTCTGTTGTGTTCTGACCTGGGGATATGATAATGATGAATTCGTCGTCTGTGGTGAGTGCGGTGACCCGTGGTTGAGATACGTCGTATTGTAACTCGATACAGGGTTGTCCAGCTGTCGACACAAATAAAACATTATTACAATAATATCCTACAGACATCGTTACGAATGGCAAGCGAGAGAAAACAACGAGAAAACGCAGCAAAATTCTGAAAATAAAATAAACACATGACGTCACTACCGCAATATCCGTTCCATGGTTACGTTAAGTACAATGTCTAATGAAGTTGTAAAAGGAAGCGATACAGCCACTGAACAACATTTCAAAATAAAACACTGACTGTATTACAAATAAGGTCGGTCAAAATAAGAACTATTTAAATTATAAGTATGTACTTACTAATTGATCACAAGCATAATAGTGTTTATGGCTTATGGATACAAGCAAAACAAAGTAATTATTCAGAAATGAGAGAGTTATATGGAACTCTTTATAGCACATACATTATACACATTATGCTTATGAATGTATCTGGCACGACTAGAGTGCGGTAATCATGCTCATGTCAATACATAATGATTGATACCTTCTTGATTACAAAATGTCATTACCATACCGAAACAACTTTAACTAAGGCTATGGAAATTAAAATACCATTAATCGACTAGAATCTTTCTTACAATAAATAACTACTGTTTACTTGCAAAATCAAGTTGTAGAGCATGCCTAAATTTTCCAATGTTACTTTTTAGAAAAAAAAATATGCAAAATAAAAGTATTTCGTCTCAATAGTACTATACATTAACATGTAAAATATAGTAATTTGACGTTATCTTACATTATTTTTGCAACTGTTTTAACGTTAATTACGGAATAGTACTATTTGAGACTTTAATTAAAGGAAATGAACAAGTTCTCAACCAATTTCAATTTATAATAAACTAACTAAGCTAAATAAAGTATATTTAGCTAAATACAACAAATATACTTTCATTTTACAAAAACGTGTTCATTTCCTCTAATAAAAGAGATCGCGATATTAAAATGAAACGTGAATAGAGCTCCAGCTTATTTTAAAGGCTAAACTCGTATAAAGGTACGTGCGCTAATAATATAATCTGTGGGAATAAGTGTTACGACACTTAGAAATAACTCAATATTGAATTTAGTGAGGGGCGCACAATTTCATTTCAACACTATTCATTTTAAATTGTATTTTACGTATGTTGAAAATAAAATTGTGATTAATATTAATTAATTTTATAATATGTGCGGTAAAATCGCGCACCCATCACGTAAGAACGTCACTATGAATGCGTGAGGGGGTAGTGTCGTACATTTTCCGCCACTTGGACGTGCGCGGTCCAGCCTGACTCCACGAGGCTCTGCACCAGCTGCGCCCAATCCTTGGCCAACATCCACCAATATTACACATATTACACACTAGCACACTTATTTAGTTACAGTCTGTCAAACATTTTATTCAAAATATTATGTAGTACTTAATAAAATAGCTATTTTTATTTAAGTATATACTACCAAGGTTACGGTCTTTTGAATGCCATTTACAAAATATATATATTAAGATAGATTTACCTATCACCTTTTCGTTTCTATTATGCAGTTATTATTTCAGCTGTATTGCGGATTTTTATTAATTGATGACACTTATATGATATCTTTAATTAATTGGTGTCATTTTATCATTTAAGACAATCTTAATCTTTCTACAATATTTTTACAATATGGTATTAAATACTGCAAATCATCTAGCGTGCATTTTGGTGCTGTTTGGTTATTCAAACTTTAACGTAATTACGCCGTACTTTGTATGTCGGTGTAAATAATTATAACTAGGCATGAAACATAACAAGGGTCGTTGTTTATGGTAACACTAAGAAAAACAGTAAATAATTAGTTCTTCGTGTAGGTAAATTAATTGGATTTCTAGATTAGATACGAGTATGAAAAAAATACTTTTTACTTGCGCACATTTGATAAGTATGCGGTAACTCAGATAACATTGTCTTTAAGATTAATAATAACGATGACATTATTATTAATACACACGCCCAGTTTTTGCCGTTTTCGAAAACATCGAGATTTTGACACCCACTATTATTTTATGAAGCAAACAGGTTTCTTTTTTTGAACTATGTAGACCACTTTATGAATAATTCTCAACTGATGTAGACTTAAAGTTTTTTGTTTTGTGTTTAGTATCCACACGAAACATTAACTTATGAAGTTAGCATAACGGCGTAAATAAAACCTGTCATATCTCTTCATCGGCCGCATTCTGCAGACCACAAAGATTTCTGCTATATGTATAAGAAATGTTTTAAACTAACATTAGCAGACAACAAAAACATTTTTTATAATGCGAATTCTATACTTTGGAATGCAGATAAACCTGTTGTGGCGTTGTAATAAACAGTTTACTAACATGTAGACTGTACAGCCTAGACATAGGCCAGTCTGAAGTCATGACTGCTTTAGGAGCGCATACGTAGCTAGAATACTGATGATTATAATACATAATGTATTTGACAGACAGTAACTTCACCGTTGCTATTGTTATCACAGCATCAGGCTCAATACATGACACTAGTTTCGCTGCGTAGTAAATCTTCACTCGAAACTAGAGTCACACACCTGTTTGTATATTTATATTCACTTTATAAATATCGCATTAAGTACATGTTCTATGTGCTGGCTTTAATTTAATGACTGATGATGTGCAGCTTTATATTAGTGTGCGTTTAAATACTTTATTCCTTTCCAATGTGCCAAAATTATTCTAGTCTCAATTAACCTTTGTTGTATCATTTTTAGCTACATCTCAGATAAATAGATATAATACCAGTGTGTTTAACATAACATTTCAATTGCATATTTTTTATTTACTTACAATTCCTTGCTGTTCCATTGAAGCATAAGTATAAATAAATTGATATTATTGTTATTTAAAAAGTTACGTCATATACGTAACAAGGGCGAGTAACAAACAAGTTCTACTATCGAGCAGTTTTATTTAAAATACTTTGTATTTACTTAATTTATATTTAACGTTGTAAAAAATGCGAATGACGCAAATGCTACTTCTGTTTGATTAATAGAATTTTGATACATTTGTTTTTATTTTCGTCTACATAACATGTGTATGTCTACTAACTGCATAGCATATTTTTTACTCATATATAAGTTGTTATTAGTAATGGCTGTCTTTGTTAGCATCCAGTCGTCTTTGATGTATTGTTAGAATTAGTGAACAAATGCATGACACGATAAGTGCACCTCTATTAACCACTTCGGGGTAAAACAGGGGTGATGTTATGTTGATGAAAAATTTTAAATACACAGTACGATTACTAATTCCCTTCAATGATAACATTAGGGTAGAAGTTTTTCTTACTAATGACATTACGGTCAAGGTCAGCCGATTATGGTACCGCAAGTCACGCGTGTAATTAAATAGAATTATTAGTAGCCAGCGTTAAATGATTGACTTATTCATAACTGTTCAACTATGACCTTGAATATTAATATTTAATACGTCATGTACGGAAACGAGTTTAATATAAGAACGCGTGTTTCACTCACCATTGTGATTTGCTCGAAAGGTTGTAACAACGCTTGATGTAGGTTGTTGTAGTCTGTTTGTGGGGATTCCACAGGACTACCTGGACTGTGCACCATCTGGAATATTCGACACCTTATATCAGTAAGATGTGATCTAAAGAAAACCTTTAAGAAGTATCTTAAAGTCCATTATCAAATAAATCGGTAAAACATACGCAAATTCAGATTTCGAAGATAACATCAGAGATAATACGTCTTACACTACATCTTTTGTTCAGTAATAAACAAAGAAAAACATTGCTTGTCTAATATTTTGAAGTGATTTATCAAGTAAATACGTGAGTACTGTACCGTTGGTGAAGGTATGTTTATGTTCGACGTGGAGGAATATTGTGAGGGCGGACTACAGTGCGTCTGGTATCCGGACGGTATCCAGCTGTGGTCCAGAGGCGACATGTTCTGTAACCAGCCGAAACATGCACTTTACTCAACTAAAACATATTTCAAAAAAGTTCTTATACAAAAACAGTGTGATTCGCATTAAAAATTAGTAAAATACTGGCTGTTTAGATTTAAATTAGAGCATTGGCAGATTGGTACACGTCATTTTATTTATTCGAATACGGAATAAATAATAAATAAAATTATTCTAATGTGATGCAAATTTCATTCATTATGCATAATTAAATGGAAAAATATGGTATTATTTCCATTTAACTTTCATTATAAGATGATAAATGAGATTAAACTCTCGCGGTTTTAGATTAGTTAGTGGTTATGAAAGTTGTAGTAAATCGAAAGAAGTTGCACGCGTTCATATTTTTTTCTATTATGAACACCAAGACACTGCCAATGCTTTGCTTAATTAGCTGTAGAATGATTCATTGCATTGTATCACACTGTTTTTAGCCAGAAGCCAATTTGTACATGCAGTTAGGACCGAATTAATTATGTAGAAGCTAATATAAGATTAAATATGAAGTAAACCATTATGTAGATCGTCAAAATGGCAACAAAACAATCTTACAGCTGTATGTGGTCGATTCTTTAAACAAACAGCGAACGTAAGCAATAAATCAATTCCACTAATCATCGAGTTTAATGCTTTAAAGAAATGACCACATTCTCATCAATATAAATTAGAAAAATATATTCATAAACACTGAGAACTGCTGTAAAATATATACAAGTAGTCATGCCAATTGGTAATATAATTTAAATTTTGAATCAGCAAGCTTACGTAAAATATTATAATATACTTAGCTTGTGTCATATACTACAGTTTTAATCGTTAGTAATAAACCAATGTTAGTAATAGCATGTTATAATCAATTAATTTTGATGTATTTAGTCATAACTGTCATAGATATATTAATAGATGGTATAGAAATATTTATCACATGCTCTTGTACTATTTCAAAGGTAGATCAACACTAGTGGTTGAAGTAAATATATGAAATTAGGGTCGTCACTCATTAGTATTTGATACAGCAATACAATGTAGCATCCTTATTATACGAAATGAACGTCATCGCGTCTACAGCTGGCATTCCACGTGTTAGTCCCCAACAATACTCTTGTATACCTATGACCTCATATTAGCTAATATACCAATGAGACGAGTGACGACCTTTATTTGTATAAATATTTATTTATGATTAACTATTCCGCTATTCGTTTTTTGTAACGCCAACAGCGTGGCCGTTTCGTAATTGTCCAATGTATAATCAACTTTTGAAACCGTTTAAATAAACAAGGCAGTTAAAATTTGTTAGTCGTCCTATAAATACAAATGTATAAATAAAATATAGGTGCGTTTGAAATATATAATGATAAAAGGAACGAAGGAAATCGGTGTCGTTTAGTGCGGAGGTGCCGAAATAAGCAATATATTGCTTCGAAAATGTATTAGTGTACGATTACATTTTTAGCTGAACACAATTTATAACGATCCATGCACGAAGCACCCATGTGATGTATGAACAAGACGAAATATAGAATGAATGTCAAAGACATAGATAAAATGTAGGATATTAGCGAGACCCAGCTCTGTTATAGATAATCAAAAATATTGGCACCAACAATAGACAGCGTATCAAAGCATTCAAGCGACCGCCGGTAAAGAATGAGCGGGAGTAAAATTTAAGAGGAGGTTAAAAAAGAAAACGAACCTTATTATGATGAAGATAATTATTTGTGTTTGGTACAGATAAGTGATTCTGAAATAAACAAAAAATGATTTGTGTAGAAAGCAAATAAACACAAACATAACAAAAACAACAAAAATGTTAAAAGTTCCTAAGAGAGTGGTCACTGGTGTCCGTGAGGCACATGTTAATGTTCTCCAAGCCAGAGTTAGAGCTACTGTACACTACGACCGGCGCTAGCTCCCAGTAGCACAGACCTACATTACATCGCTGCTATCATTCCGGTAGCGTAGCTACACGCCATTTTTGATAAACAATACTCGTTACTTAGATTGATTCATAAATTCTTGCATAGTAATGTCCCGACAACCGCGACTGCAATACTTTTTTAATAGCAGACAGATTTGGTTTGTAATGTAAATTGATTATTGTGTGATTTTCGCGGCGTTGATTATGATTCACATGGACCGAGGTAACAATATTGAAAAATTTAATACACGGTAGCAAACTGAACGCTTTAACAGTCTCCCTTAAGATATCACAGTACAAAACTGTTCGCGGGATAGCGTAACTATAAATAACACCTATTATTTAAATCCCATATAAAGGTTTTTGGGTAAGTTGATATGCAACAACAGGTTTGTATAGCAAAATCGAGCAACTAGATGTATTTAGTGAACCGAGTGGTGACGGTGCGGGCCACCGACCTGCGCGTCGTAGAGCGGCGCCACGTGGTCCAGCGCGTGGTGCTGCGCCAGCGGCACCGTGGCGCCCACCGGCGACCCCGACGCGGGGGACAGCCCGCCCGTCGCCGGCGACACGCTGCCGCCGCCCGGCGACACCGCGCCCGGCGACGTCGGCGACTGCAACCACCACACTCATGCACTACCGACATCTCCCTACCGCGCGCTACGTGTTACCGTCGTTGCAGTTTTCCAGCCGCCACGAGTTCGATCGGAGACTATAATACTACTCATGCGATTAATTGATTAAAATTTTTGCTTAGTTACACGTGTTTACGCCGGCGCAAATGAGAGCTACTATCACTTTTACTAAACCTATTATTAGTATCACGCGAGTGCGGCGTGCGAAACACGTGAGATGCAGTCGAGGGCCTTATCGCCGCGCTCGACGGACCAAGACGGATCGGCGATCAGTAAAGTTTTATTGCAACACAGATAGAGGACAGAATCCCTCGCAGACGAGACACAAACACGGCGAGATGATGATGGGCGGCGGAGTAGTACCGAAGGGCCTGTCTTACTTGCGGCGGATAGTGGTAGTGACGTACATAGCGCGGCTGGTAGTCGGCGTCGGCGCGCGGCGTGTGCGGCGCGTGCTGCCAGCGCGCCGCCCAGCGCGCCGCCCAGCGCGCCGCCGCCCTCCGCGCCCGCGTACACGCTGTCGAAACAGTCATACGTGCTAAACAGAAAACGAACATTATTCCAACACATTCCATCACACAACAGCAATATTTCATTACCACCACCACACGAATACCCAAATACTCATCATCATAAATTGCATAGTCCGTCGGTATCCAAATTAAAGAAATATAATAATTATTTACATCAATGAGATTTATAAGAAATGATATAGTACATCACAACTTGGCTTTTCTAAATCATTCAAGTTTCTGAGCTTAGGGATAAAATATTTTTTTCCTCCTTCAATTAACCAGTTGAAATATAGATACTCACTTGTTATTGTTAGGTATTCTGGGGATTTCACATGACGATCTCGGCCGGTTTGCGGGATTCATTGCCGATAGAACATCTAAATGTATGTCACCTGCAAGAAACATAAGTAAACATATAAATAAATCAAACAAGTAATACATAGGACTTTTGCATAAACTATAAAACATATACATTACAAACTCGTGAATAGCTTGTCAGCTTTAAAAATGTCGTTTTGTCTCAGAAGGAGGAGTTGCCACAACATTACACTGACTTAAGTACCTGTCATAAAAACCATACCCACAATTTTTGAATGCACAGAAACATTGGGTTATGTATAAAATGATTTCGTTGGTCACCTCTCCGATGGTTCTGGTGCGGGTGTAGATGCGGGTGTGCGTGCGAGTGCATGGTCCGGTGCGGCGACAGCGGCTGCACGGCCGCCTGTTGCTCGCCGCACGACTGGTGCAGCGCTGAGTCCGAGTGCGTACGGCGCCAGTTACTGTCCGGCGGTGGACTGCAAGCATACACTATTATATAGCTTTACATGTAATATTGTAATCCTTTACATATTATAGATGTGAAAGTTTGGATGGACGATGTTACCCTTTGTTGCAGAAGCTACTCAATAGTTCTAAATTAAATTCGGCATAGGGAATGTAGTCCGGAATAATGCATAGCGTGCTTTTTACCTTGATATCGCAGGTAAACCTGTTGTAAAAAGCTAGTGATTTCTATAAAGTTTTTTAAAATTATCAAAATCTAAAATATTTTTCGAATTACTTCGATGTTTATGGACATATGTATAATAATAGGTGTTTAGATGCTCTATCATAAACAGGAATTTCTCATTTGAATAAATGTATAAGATTATTTTGTTAGTATTGTGACATTTGGATATTTAGTTTAATAAAAAACGAGACTGTCTTTGTCGGCTATATTAGAGGATATTAATAGTACGCGTGTACTAATAGCCCCAGTAACATGCTACGTCGATATTTGGTAATTACAGGGTTTGGTCTTGGGAACTATGTATTATTATACTTTTCCGTATACAACAAAACTATAATAACCACGTATATTTTTCATATAAGTGTTTACAAACCAGCGTAACAAGTTCCTCACACAGACGTTGAATATTACGCATTTTAATTGAATTGTAATTTCCAGAAGTGACGTAATATTTTAAACATTGCCAAGACATCGACTTGAATTCACAGATATAAGCAGGAAAACAGTTGCAAACTCTGATTAATAAACAATCGATACTTAGTCATACGATATTTTTTATTTTGGTGTTTGATTCTTGTACCTAGGTATCAAATGTTGTAACTATTAATCATGAAATATCCAAAATATAACTTTGTTGTGGCATACCTACATGGACTATGGACAAATATCCTTACAAATCAACACTATGTTAATAGTGGTAGACGGAATAAATTACGACGAGTTCTATAGTTTATATAATTCGCAGACGGTGGATCGTCTCGTAGAAAGGTAAACTTAACTAGTTTTTTTTTTTCGAAATCATATTCACAGAACTGTAGAAATTTCCTTTAGCTACATAATTGGGCTATGTCCGCGTGTTTTATAGGAGCGTTGTTTCCTGATCTATGTTGATAACTTCTATTAAACAATTATTTATTATTATTATACATGAATGAGGTTTCGTGGAACAAACTTGAATTAACATGACATGTACTTAAATGAATCACATTTACCTCGTGAAGTTGGTAATTAATAATAATTATCAACACGTTCGTATAGTTTAAATTGGAATAAATTGTACGTCGGCGTCGGCTGGCTTCTTGCGCCTCATATTTTAGATAATAATTCAGCATAACTGCCGTGATTAAGAAGTGACGTAAGTATATAGTAGCGACTGATTTAATTGTAACCTCCAAGGATAAAGTGCAGGATTGTTCCTTTGTTAAGTATATCTAAAATATTTGCGTATATATTTGTTTTTATCGCCTAATGTTACTAACAAAAAGAAAAACTCTAGTAAGTACATATTTAGTGTATGCCGTACCGTACCTAACGGGTTTTACACTTGTTTTCTTTTTTGTATATGAAATACCTACGTCACTACTGTTACGAGGTAGGTTTACAATAAAGACGTGATGTCAATCTCTGTAAACTTCATCCGAAGGATTTTATATAGAATGCCGTTTTACGGTTGGTACTTCGTTTAAAGTTGGCGCGAAAACTTCCTGCTAAGTTGACTGGTCAATTAACTTGATAAGTAGGTACGTATTGACGAGACCACCGTCGTTCGTCATCTGGTTTTCTCAATGCAAAACAGGTTTACCTCAAGTATACAGTGCTCCCATAAGGGCTGGTATCGTGTTTTCTGTCTGCTGGGCGACGCATCGGGCCCACCGAGGAGGAGGCGCGGCCCCGCTGCCCCGCCGGCGAGCGCGACGGCGACGTGCCGCCGCTGCGGCCACCGGCCATAGCATACTGGTTTGATAGCGGTAATTCCTCCGGCTAGGACAAATAGACAACAAAATGTTACTAAGAGAAACTTAACTAGGAATGGTTATGGCTGGCTTTTCCCGCCCAACTAAGGTCGCGTGTGACTCGTGTAAGACACCGGTTCAGCTTGTTTGGCGGGAAATACCAGCGACATGACGTTGTCCTTTATAAATTGCTTTTCCCTATACACATATTTTTGAGAAACAATATCCAATTGAATGTGTGTAATAAATATGCAAAGATATGTATAACCTACCACTATTAAAGTATTAATCATTCAACAATTTACTCATACACTTATTATGCACAATACTATAGTAAACAGCATTTAGCACATTAATTGTAGTAGATACAGTCTGATGGATATAGCATGGCAAATAAATACATTGGTCACTACTTCTAAGTGCAGGGTTTATTTTAATTAAATTAATTAAATCAACTAACTATTCACTAATATAGGTAGATGGACATTTTTTATAAGGATGCAACATGCCATTTTACTAGTCACTAGTTTTCTAACATCTTATTTATATTTTCTGCAAAATAATCTAAATCTAGGAACAAAATTTTTACTTCTAGAGCAGACAAAGGAAAAAGGCAATAAAATAATCTTTGCTTTTGGATGATAAAAAAATGTAGAACATTGTAATAAAATATAACATTCATAGTTAAACCTGTTTATAGTATTCTAGTGAACAGATGACGGAGTTAAGTTTTGTGAACAAGAAAACTTATTAGAACACATGTTATAATGTAAATATGAGTTCAACACAGTTTTCTGTTAACAAGAGTTACTCTACACACTTTGTTTATTATTACAGGCATTTGATTATATTTATCAATATTCAAGTGAGTTTTTACAAGGTGATAAAGCAATTAGCACTCATTTACTGTTTGATTGAGACTGTTTCATTTGTTCATTGACTTTCAACACTTGTTAATTTTTTTTAAATATGCATAAAATAAAAATTGCATAAAAATCTATAAGAAATTAAACACAAGTTTAAGAAAAAGAATACAAAATCATTTCAGCCAGCTACAACTGCACCACTACCGAACAAAAGAAGGTATAGCAAATTCTACCATAAATTACAGAGGCCATCAAGACCTAGCAGGTACTTATCAGTATGTAATTAATATATGACTTAAAACAAAGAAGAATGTAATTTTTTGCTATAAAATACAAATAATATGTGTTTGGAATCTTCTAACGTTGTAACTACCTGCAAGGTCACAAAATGGTAGATTTACGCTATTAGGGATTTTAATGGTCAGATTCCAAAACAAAGGAACCTTAATTGTTTCCAGCTCATTGGCGGTAGCTTGTGGTGCAGCCACATTTGGCAGGGAGCCACTGCGGTATGTGCCCAAGCCCTGCTGAGTGGGCCGGAGAGACGACTCAACATTATCACTAGGCTCTGGGGGCGGTTTGACTCTGGCTACTTTACTTGAATTAACCTGCAATCATGATGCCTGAAGATTTCTTTACTGTACTCTAACAGTTGACCACATTTTTGTAAATGAAAACATCCTACAACTTTCACACAGTCAATTGATGTTGTGATTTCCACTATAAATAATCAACTCTTTGATTATAACAAAACATTGTTAGCCACAATATGTCTGTATCTAGATATATTAAATTATTTCACTGGCAAGCAACTATTGTTATCAGTTATGATTAAGAAATCAGACTTCACATTTCCTTAGTTTCATTAGGAGATGAAACACTCATAATATTCTAACTAGCTATTGTGTAGGATACCAAATAGACTTACAATTCATTTTGACAATGACAATTGTAACTATACACACAGAACTGAGTGGTATTTTGCTATTGACATAAATAAAAAAATGTGTTCACTTTGTTGTTTAGGCGCAATAACTATTTTGTAATGGATTATTGTTTACGTCGGCGGGCACATTTGACGGCCAGGAAGCGACTGCCTGAGTAAATAGGCGACATACCCTTTGGGTTGCGTCGGAAACTTCGCGCATAATCTGTTCAAAAGCAGCTGTTTCCTCTGCCTGTTTTTGATGATGGAGGGCAATTTTCTCACTAAATTTCCGTGGATTCGCCATGATGGCCAGTAAACATTTATTTTTCTCGTTTTTACATCACAATTTTTAGCGTTCAAAGATCCAAAACGCGCTTGACTGTCAGCCACAGATTTGTGTTGCCATTTTATAAAAATATAGTCATGTCCATAACTTTTAGTAATTTAGTCGAATATCTGAGAAAGACTTAAATTACTAAAATAATTTCATAACCTCTAGAAACTTTTAAATTTTTTTTAAATGTTGCGTAGTTACTATTGCCTAAAACATTGCTCAGAAAGTATTTCCACAACTTTACAGCTTTTAAAAAAATTATGCTTAAAACCCAAATCCAATACGAACGATGAGGAAATTCGCAAAGAATAATATGAACAGTTAGAGTTTTGGTTTAGACCAGAAGTATTACAAGTTTTATATTAAAATAGTCTTTAGGAGTCTCATAACCAAATTTAAAATAATTTAAAAAAAGATAAACAGATGTTGATTGCCCTCTGCTAATAGTGCGTGAAACCGATCGTTAGAATTTTGACTGACATTGACAAGACAAATTATTATTGACATTGACATTTGTTGACCGACTTTGTAAAGTCACTTCGATTGTATTGTATTTTTTCAAATAGAAATGAGTGCGGACGAATACAATACGGTTGCGATATTATTAATTTAATTTTCTTATTGAATTACTAACGTGGAAGTTTAAGTGTTTTAAAAACCATGGAGGAAAAATATATTTTAACTTTAGACATAGGCACTAGCACTATTCGCTCTTTTATTTATAATACTAGAGCTGAAATAGTGGGAAGAGCGGTTGATCAGGTACAAAATAATAAAGAAAATCTTTTAATCGAGTATCCGACAACAAATATAGATTATTAATATTAAAAAAAAATTGTTTATCTTGAACATAATATTTATAAATATTTTTAAAAGTCAACAATTGGTAGTGCACCAAGTGATATTTTTTTATTTTTTTAATAGGTGGTATTGCATTATCCGCACCCTGGTTTCGTTGAAATAGATCCAGATGAACTGTGGGCCTCAATAGTTGGTGTAGTAAATATATCATTGAAGGGTGAGTAATTTTAAAGTGCATTACTTTTCATAATATTTTTAGTTAGGTAGGTATAATATATCTTCTCTTAAAAATTTGCAAGTTACTTTAATTTAACTCGTCGAGTACCGGTTTTGTAGACACAATTATAGAACAATAGGTTGCGGTCACCGGTGACCGCTTGGTGTTTGACAGTTTAATTTGTAAATAATGTGAACTGCTTACTAAGGTATAACATGTGATCATGCGTCCCAGTTTGATGGAATATATTTATTTACTTCTAATCATTTAAATGAATAGTTCTGTTGTACCACTTCCTAAATACAACACATATGATAAGATATCTTATCACTTAATGCATAGCAATGAGAACAACCAAGTCTTGTCCAATAGCTGTTGTTTACAATTAAAATGGTATCATAATTATGATAACTCATTATTATAGGAGTAAAATTATCAATGAATGTTTTTGAACAAAATCCTTATTTTTACTATTGTAAATTACTGCTGTAGGACCAAATTCCAATTGTATATGTCATCTATTAGGTGTCAGAGAGAAGAATTACTAATGTTTTTATTTATAATCAAATTTGTAACAAATTTGTCCCAGATACATCTTTAGGCTCTATTTGTATCACATCAATAAACAATTATTTTTAAAGATAGAGAGGTTCAATGAATATGGAAATCAACTATGTGTAACAGTATCCCAAAGGCGGCTATGAATATTGATAATCCCTATGCCATATGAGCTACAAAAACTTATGAGATTATGATAAATTAATGTTGTTATACATATCATATCATACACATTCATAGCAGTTCTGTTTTATGACAATCATAGAAATCAATTTCTTATTTACTCTGCAACAGCTCGGTTGAGAAATCCACTAAGTATAGATTATGTATGTCTATTTTTTAAAATGCAGTATATTGTCCACAGACGCCCAATTAACAGCTGGTCAGATGACGGCTATGGGTATCACCACCCAAAGAGGTACATTTATAAACTGGTCTCGGAAAACCGGCAAACCATTCCACAAATTTATTACATGGAAAGATTTAAGAGCTGACAAATTGGTCAAACAATGGAACGCTTCATATGTATGGAAGGTAAATTATATTTCAGAGATTTTTTTAATATTTGAGGACCTAGTTTCTAGAAGCTTGATCAGTGCAGATTTTTCCACCAGTGAGTTAATAATTTCTTGGTAAAAAAAATAAAATAATGGCCTATTACCAGCTTTTCCCTTTTATGTTAAATATGCACAGTCCAAAGTTTAATATAATTGATGAATATCATTTTAGTCTTTATCTTATAATAGTATTCAATAAAGGGAAAGTTTACCTCTCATTAGGCAGATATTGAAAATTTGTGCTACTAAAACGGAATTACGAAATCAATGTAGCAAAGCATTGGAAATTAAATCTACATTTAAATATTAAGTGGATTGACTAGCCTATCAAAAACAAGCTAATGATTACATAATGCATATTTATTATTGTTTCTCAAAATGTTTCTTTTTTAGCTATTCAAAGCAAGTGCCTACGTATTGTACCTTATTCTAAGAAGCAAAAGGTTCAAAGCAGGAAGTGTGTTCAAATTTATGAATACTCAGGTGAGTTTATTTTTTTTAATCGCTAATCTGATGTGCAGTTTCCTTATTCAGCCTATACTATAGTATTAATAGGAAATATTAGCAATAAACCTGTTTGTTATCATTTCCTAATTCAAACTCATTGGTATGCTAATTTATTATAATTATTATTCAAACGCATGATTATAGTAGACTTCTGAATAAAAATATTGACTGAAATGATGTATTAGGAAGTGCAAAAAGTTATATTTAACAAAAAAACAATGATCGATTTAATTTTTATTCGACCTTTTAGATTTACGCGGAACATTTTGCAACCGCGATCGTGAAAAATTGCTTTAAGATATAATTTTGTCTTTATTTTGATAAATAGTTACCTGACGTGGAGTATTCGGACAAAAAATGTGCTTTGTTTTTATTCAGAGTTTAAAGTTTATTTGAATTTGGTATGTAAAGACTTAATTAACTCTTGTTGATTACTTACTGGCTTGTGGGCCGTGGAGTCGTAAGCGCAACTGTAGATCCTATCTCCGGGGATATCTGGGTGGGGCAAAAAACGATACGATTACTATCGTTGATATTATCAACATTCTCACTAATAAAACGGAGTCTGGAATTGTGCCGAGTGTATGGCATTTACATGGCCCTATTACATACATCTTATAATATTGCTAGCGAAAAGTGAGTTCAATTTAAATATACCTCTACACACCTGCCTACTAATTCGGAATTATAAGGCGTGCTGTTACGTTATGTTTATCACTTACCCACCTGCGCAAGCGCAATGACGCATTGTTTATGATTTAATCGCTCATAACCGCTCGATCAACCATAATAAATATAGTATCGTTACGATTAGACAATTTGAAAAGATAAAACAAAGGTTTCATCTTGTTATTGCTATTTATGTACTTTATGGACAAAGTCAATTAAGAGGATTTCCTTGTAAGCTCTCTAGAAGCTCGGGTTAATTTCTGAGTCGGACAAAGATAATTCAATAAATAGTATATTAAGTCGTTTTTTCCCGAGTAACATCCAATTCCATTTCTCCTATCGAAGGTCGTCAACGCGCTTGTAACACCACTGGTGTTCATGGGCACCGCTGGCTACTTACCATCAGGTGATCTGTTTGCACGTTTGCCCCAATAACATATCACTCGATCAATTACCTTAAGTTTGCTTCTTTACCCTTCTATCCCATAAAATTTGTTGTAGTACCATACGTCGCAAATAAAGTATCATAAAGTCAGTTGTTGCGACGTAGGCACACCGACAATAATCTAGATACACCGAACGTCCTGGCTGTCGTCGAGTACAGTTCTAAATATAGACGCATTCTTGTCGGAAGCGTGGCGATACATTGTTGAAGATTGTGATACCTTTTTCTTTATTTACGCTATAAGTAAGTTATATTTATAGACCGTATTGATTTGATGGAGAACAATGCAGACGAAATACAATCGATCAAAAAAGTAATTGCTGTTTAGCTAATATTATTTCCATACATGCATAACGTCACGCCTTTAATCTCCTATAAGGCCTAAGGTGCTCGCAGAGTTGCGCATATACAATGTAACATCCACTTTTCAACAGTTTTGTCAATACCAATGGTTTGCCATAAACCGAGCATCTTCGAAATATCTATTACCTATTGATAAAATATTAAAGAACTGCATAATGTCCAATGAAAGGTGCTTCGCCTGATTCCGGTATCGTCGATACTGGAATATCGATATTCGATACCGTATCGAACCCGAATCCCTGACTCCTGACTGTGGCTAGGCAGTTGCACTTCCGATCACCGGACCGCTAAGCAGTAATTTCTTCATCAACCATTGATTACAGTTAATAATAATTTCGGTTCCATATAATAAGGACATGATTCAATTTTTGTAGCGATTTTGTATCCCTGAATGTTCAAAATCATTTGGCGTTAAGTGACAAGATGTACTAAATCAAATTCGTTTATTAATATACCGATGGTGCATTGCATCTTATAGGCATCGGCATTTAGAGCGCCGGCGTCCGCGTACGCCCACGGCACTCAAACTCGCAATGCAAAGGTCAAAGATCGTAGATACAGTACATTTGACTTCAATTTCGTGATATAATCGTCAACCAGTAGTAGATACGGCTTATTTAATCATGCTTCTATTCTTATTTACGTAGGTACTTTGAATTCTATTCAGTCAATGTCAGAGGTTAAGGCACCGAGTACTTTAAACGAAGTCTGTATTATACTTACATGGAATATGTATGTATGTGCATACATCACAAAATGCATGCATAAATGCGACCGTGGTTTATCCTTTTTTACCTCTTAAGTGGTTGATGACATGTGATTTTTTTTGTCTGTAGGCATGTCGAAATTATTTTATGCGTTTGCCAAAAATGGTGTTAAGAAAATTGTGCGTTTATTTAAGTAATTCCAACTTTTATAAGTGAGGATCTCTGCACAAAGGAATAAGTTTTTTGGTAATTTGTTATTTGGTAATTTGGTAACTGGTTTAATCTTTCACTTCCTCGGGTCGTATTCCTTAACACATTAAACGCCATGGGGGTCACCGGACACTGACATTAGCGAAGGATTTGCCTTGCAACAGTTTTCTATTATTGGCAGTCCAAGCCTTAATACTGAGGTGATTGTTCATTTGCTGACACAACTATAAAATATATTTTTCTCTTTTCTCCACTGTGACCATTGTCTCGTCTGGGCCTTAGAAAGGTTTATTCCATGATCGTGGATGCTGTCCAGAACTTCGGTTTATTCCATATGGAAGTACCTACGATATTTTCCCAAGTTTCTTAATCTAACCATATTATATATCATCCAAGAGAGCCAAAGAAGGCAGATAAATAATCAATGATTTTATATAAACCAAGTTTGGCTAATTAAAACTCATTTCTGACTGACACTAACTTTATGAAAGGGTCTAAAAAGCAACGATGATCGTTGTGTGGTACCTACCTAAATACCTATAGCCTTATTCTCAAAGTAATTTGTTTTCCAGACATGTTTAAGATTAAACTGGGCGTTCCACAACATAGCTGCCTTCAAGACTGCCGTGCAAGAAGACGACGCTCTCTTCGGAACCTTGGACACGTGGCTATTATACAAATTGACAGGTAATTACATAGCATTCACAAACATCATTCTGATTTATACGCGATTTAATGGAAAAATAAATGATGGAGTTTTTACTTCTAGCAGTGGTAATGTTTTTATGATTGTTCAATATCTAATTTTCTTTGCGATATTATTTTGACTGTCGCTATTTTAATGAAATTATCTTCCATTACTACTTAAAGTATTTACCGCGCGTAAAGGTATCTAGGTTTGTATTGAGGATCCACTTATTACCGCAAAGATGAAATTGTGTCTGCACAATAATGTAACACACATTGAATGAACTTCATCATGATCAAGTCTCAATCCTTTCTTAGAAATTAACTCATCCATTTAACAACTTTTAACAAGCACTTTCATTATTGTCGCATAGCGTAAAAATATTGATTATTTAAAACAGGTGGTAAGGTTCACATGACGGACGTGTCGTCAGCGTCGGCTACGGGTTTTTACGACCCATTCACCATGCAGTGGGCTGGCTGGGCGATGACCATGTTGAAGATACCCAGAGCAGCGCTGCCAGAGGTCGTTGATACCGCCGGGGACCACTTTACTAGTACCATACCATCTATATGGGGACATCCTATACGAATTGTCAGTTGTGTGAGTATATTTTGTTAGTAATTTCTCCTTTTATTGTTGTGCTGACTGACTGCCGAATTGGTCGCAAGAGGAGGAGAGGGCGGAATAGTATCGGGTTTTCAAAAATTCTCAGTAATAACATAAAATATGAAATTGTATGAATTCAGCGCAGAGTGCACAGTAATTCAAAGTCGAAATCAAAAGTCAAAATCATTTATTTCAATTAGACCAGAAAAGCACTTTTGAACGTCAACAAAAAATTTAAAGTGAAGCTATTTGCTCATTCCAAGGTGTAGATTCCTATGGAGAAGAACGAGCAAGAAACTCCATAGGGTTAGGCTCCTCTTTTTCAATCAGGTTCACAATACAATTCTCTAGTTACATAGATTTGTTGTTTGGATTGTGCGAGATCAATGTAGTCAAAGAGATCGAAAAAAGAAATAACGTTAAAGGACAGTAAAAAATACAGTCTGGAGCTGACCAGTCCCAGTTGACGGCGCCCGTTCACGAACATGACACGTACACCAGCACCGACCAACTCAACCATATTTTAGGGAATCGAGTGGTTCTCCAGTTATTCTCTCGAATTTTTGGAACAGTGTTTTCTGATTCTTAGTATTTTTTGCTAAATAGCCAAGAGTCTAGTTTATTGGACGATTCATTTTGGATTGTGCTAAAAGTATCATAATTAGATTTGAGTTCTAACATGTCTATGTAAATGCTTGTGGGTATCATGCGATTGCAATAAGTACTAGATTACTAAATGATGACGTAAATTGCATAATTAAGTTTTTAAAAAGTATAAAGTATTATAAGATGAATTAACACATTTATTTATACTTCGATTCGCCATTTTTGTCTTGATGTATTTATATTAATAGTCATTTTATCGCCTTGCAATATTCATGGTCAATGGCCAAGAAGGATATTGTATTGTTTAAACGGAAACTGTTAATGTGAATGGCGCAAATCAGTTTTTAATTTAATATTTACTTGGGTCGTATTTAAACAATACGGGGAAAAGGACCTAATTTCAAGGTGAGAAGATTCATTCTTAAATATTGGATATTTGAGGAGAATGATGCATAAATTAAACTTTAAGATAGTTCTTAGAATTTCAATATACCCAATAATACGTAGTTCCTATTTCCTATACATACAAGGCAGTAAAGTTATCGGAAATATTGCCCAATGTCGGACATAAAAAAAACCTTTATGTCAAGATGATTTCTGCAATGGATGAATTTTAATTTTATAGAAAAACTAGCTGATGCCCGCGACTTTGTCTGCGTAGAATATGACATTTTGTAGAACATAACATTTTTTTGTTTCAATTTTCCAAAATAAAAGTAACTTGCAATATCGGTCCAGTTATTTCAGAGATTAGCCTCTACAAACAGACATATAAAAATAAAAATGTTATTTTGGTATGTGTATCGTATGTATATTCTATTTTAATATTACTTAAATCCACATTTTCAGCTGCGGACTCTGTCTATGGTAAATGACTAAATGTAATAACCAATTTTCATTTTATGCCAATTACAGTGTAAATTAGACTACTCTATACGATTTAAAAAGTATATGGTATGACATACATTGCAATAAGTATAGGTACTCATTACAAACATGTTGTAAGAAAAGTCGTGTTGCGTAAATAATGCAGTAGGTAGGTAAACATTACGTGGAAGTATACAATGGTGATATTCCAACCGCTATTTATAAAACAGTCGTTGCAATTAACACAATTACTGGAATATCCTATTGTCTTCTACTTTCTTACGATATTAGATCCCAATCCCAATTGACATTGACTTTGGACGTTGGAGTAGAAAATGGACAACAATATTGATGTTTCCGGACTAAATATAAATTAATTGTTTCCACTTTATCAGTCCACGAAAATATTTTAAAATAATCACAATTGTTGATCAAAGTAATGAATTAAACATTTAATTATACATTAATTCTGATTTATGTGAAATTAGTAAATATCTATATAGCTACCTAGTTCACCTTATAAACAGATCAATGTAATTTTGAGAAGTGATAAGATTTGACCAGATTTTAGTGAGACTAGATTGTTGAAAAACATTATCATTTTTACGGCATAAGCCGGCTAACGAGCGTACGGATCACCTGATGGTAAGCAATCGGCGTCGCCCATAGACACCTGGAACACCAGAGGCGTTACAAGTGCGTTACCTGCCTTTTGGGGATTAGGAGTTTGAGGATCGTTGGGTATTCAGGGATTGGGGAAGGGGAGGGGGGTAATAAAACGCAAGCGTTGCTTCACGTCGGTTTTCTGTGAAGCCATAATATCACTCCGGTCGAGCCGGCCCATTCGTACCGAAGCATGGCCTTCCCAGATTTAAATCATCAATCAAAAAAAAAAAAACTAAAAAATTTAAAGTAGGTACCTAACTAACTATTTATTTATTAACTAACTTCTGTCTTCTGCCTATTTGTTATTCCAGACCATAATAATACATACAAAGAAACAAACTTTCGCATTTATAATATAAGTAGGATTATACAAATAAGTGTTGATTCGGAGTCAGACACCACGTAAAGATAATTACTTTATTTAGTTTACATTCATTATTTCAATTATTTTTATTATGTTCCACACAATAAAACATTAACCTGCATTTTGAAGGTCACCTTTACCTGCGTCATAAAACGAAATCGAATTTTTGCTTGTAAATATTAATATGCAATTATTTTATTTTACTTTGTGATATTATGATTGTATTTTATTTACGTTTTGTTGTTACTTAAATAGCATAGCAAATGAGTTTTCTATTATCTACGCTACGTATACGTGGTAGAGCCGTAAGTCTAGCTGATAAACGTACTTATGTATAACTTGAATCGGCCGGCTCGACCGAAGAAGTAACTGCCACCTCTTTCCAAGATACCAGCGGGACTTGAAGAAGTGACGTCATGATACCCTATTTTAATGCAATTACCAAGTAGCTGATATGACTGGCAACACTCCTAAACTATAATGCTTCTCATGTGTACTTAGGATACGGTAACAGTTTACCATCAGGTGTACCAGAAGTCAGTAGTACTTATATGTCTACACATAAAATGTGAAGATCTGGAGAAAGAAGATCTTTATAAAACAAACTATCCTTTTCTTCCTGGGAAGAATACTAGAGAGTGTGGAAATCTTACCTCACTACAACTACATTCGCCATCCGAACCTATAGGGAGCACCGGTTTATCCTAATATACTAACCCTAGAATGTGTAAAACTAACTTCTGCTAGCAATTTCGCCTGCGTTTCTGCGGAATAAAAAATAGCCTATGTATTAATCTATCCCCGTTCCCAATTTTGTCCCGAGCCCTCTATCCGTTTTGACGTGAAGGAGTATCAAACAAACAAACAGACAACTTTTAACTTTCACATTTATAGTATAGTATGAGTTAGTATTAAAAGGTGGATTATTTTTCTTTCAGATGGCTGACCAAACAGCATCAATGTGGGGTTCATGTTGCTTCGAAGTAGGTGATGTGAAACTCACAATGGGTACTGGGACCTTCTTCAATATCAACACGGGTACGGAACCACATGCTAGCGTGTCCGGTCTGTATCCCATCGTAGGCTGGAGGCTTGGGGAGGAACTCATCTATTCTGCAGAAGGAGCGAACAATGACACCGCTTCTATCATCAAGTGGGCACAGAATTTAGGTAAGTGTCAACACTCATAATATTAGCAGTTAATTTGTTTGAGTCAAATATCTTTATTAGATTTTTAACTTTCTTATCTTGGTGTAAAGTCGAAAATCCAATGACCAAAATTGATTTAGAGTAAAATGACCTCCTGGCCATTGTTTGTTCTTAAAATCTAGAATTTGATCACTCTTTATGAAGATATATTGAGTTTCACATTCTTAAAGTTCTGAAATTCTATTTTTTGTCTATTCTAGGGTTGTTTGATAGTCCAGAAGACACAGCAGACATCGCCACCTCGGTGCTGGACACAGACGGAGTCTACTTCATACCGGCATTCAGCGGGCTAGGGGTAAATATCACCTATTGGTATTACTATAAGAGTCATATTCAATTTGACGGTATAGTACTTGCTTTATTAATTGTAATAGAGTTGTTAATTAGCACGAATTCATTGAAATATAGTCTGTATTGACATATATCGCCGATACTACAAAGTTATAACTTTTGTCAGTAATTTCGATTGTGAAAGTAAGTATTGTATCGCTTTCACATTACCGGCAATTCGTATGAATGTCACGAATTTATTGTGAGTAAATACTCTCGTCACACCTAATGGAAAGTGGTTACTGCGTTGATACTCGCTACATTGTCGAGTCAATGTGTTTAATGAACAAGATGATATTATTATTGCACATTAAAACAATTAAGATTTATTTCATAAATGCAAGAAATACATATGTAGTGAAGTTTTTCATCTGTTCTATAAAAAATGTAAATGGTATGTTTTCGATTTACTTACGTAATTGTTTGACGAGGAACTCGACTAGTGTGACTAAATAAATAGGTCTTTTAAATATCCCTAAAGTACTGCAACTTAAGTGGTGGTTGTAGAGGTACATTATGAACTTTAGATTTTTGATCCCCTTCCACCCTTTATATGAAACGTTACATATAAAATATTGATATTAACATTTTTATTTATTTATTCTTTTATGTACACAATTTTATTATGGCACATAAGGCGAACTTAATGCCATATGGCATTCTCTACCAGTCAACCTTAGGGTTTAAGTTGAAAATCAGCGAAAAAGAAGGTACGGAGAATAAACTACCAGCAAAGAGTGTGAGAGAGAAAAAAAAAGAAAATATTAAATAATATAGCTATACATATATCTTATACAATACTAAAGAATATATATAGTCATATGCATAAAATATATAGGTATAAATACATACATAAATATAAATCGACGAAGGCCTAAACCATGCTTTGCAGTGATTTTAAAAAAACATTTCTAAAGCCAATGTCACGACTTCAACGAAAAACTTATCCATTAATCTGTCAAACACCAAGCGGTCACCGGTGACCGCAACCTATTGTTCTATAATTGTGTCTACAAAACCGGTACTCGACGAGTTAATAACAATACATAAAATAACATAACATCACGCCTTTTTATCCCCGAAGGGGTAGGCAGAGGTGCACATTTCGGCACTTAATGCCACTGTACAATGTAACACCCACTTTTCACTATCTATGTTGTGAGTCCCATGTAATAGGGGGTGAGCCTATTGCCATATACCCGGCACATTTCCAGACTCCGTGCTACTACTGAGATTTTTAAAAACCCAGTAATACTTTGCTCGACCCGGGAATCGAACCCGAGACCTCATGCCCAGCAGTCGCCCTTGCGACCACTCGGCCAACGAGGCAGTCTAATAACAATACACCTTTTAATTATTATAAACTAGCGACCCGCCCCGGCTTCGCACGGGTGCAATATACATGTATTATACATACAAACATTCCTTAAGAATCACTCTATCTATTAAAAAAAACCGCATCAAAATCCGTTGCGTAGTTTTAAAGATCTAAGCATACATACGGACATACAGCGAAAGCGACTTTGTTTTATACTATGTATTGATAAACAAATACGTATGTAGAGTTTTTGATTTAAATGTCATTTTTAATCAATGATACAAATGATTCGTTAAAATGATCGATTCAACGTTAATCGTTTTATATTATCAGAACGAGATTCTTCGTATAATTAGGTAAACATGTTCGAGGGTCACCAATATAATTATATTACATTTAAATCCAATGTATTGGGTTATCCACGACCTTGTAACACATTTTAAGGTAACTCAAATATAAAGACAATTATGCAACGAAAGCTTTGTCAGTTTGTATACTCTTGTATATTCATAAGATTATATGATAACTGTCCCGGTCCATTTTTGTTCAAAATTATCCATTTTAGAGCCTATGCAAAACCTAATAAAACAAACAAAAAAACTACATAACATAAAATCACGCCTTTTATCTCCGGAGGGGTAGGCAGAGGTGCACATTACGGCATTTAATGCCACTGTACAATGTAACACCTATTTTTCACTAATTAGTTATGAGTCCCATGTAATAGGGGGTAAGCATATTGCATTCACTATTCCAGACTGTGCTACTACTAAGACTTTAAAAATAAATCCAGTAGTACTTTGCTCGACCCCTTGCTCACCAGTTGCACTTGCGGCCACTCGGTCAACGAGGTTGTCAAACAAAAACTCTTTGTAATATTAGAGGTAGTATCATTGTATTTGTATGTTATTTATCAAAGGTCATTATATAAACCAGTTTCTTTATTCTTAGGCTGTTTTTCCTGTGACTTTGAATTTTAGGAAAGATAAACGAAACATTTAAAGTTTTTTTTTGTTATTCACCTAGTCTCACCCGTCAGCGTGATGAAGGTTTATAAGAGTAACTTAGCTAAAATAAAAAATAATTGCCCACGCAACTCTGACGCCGTAATAACTACCCATGCGGCCATGGCAATAAAACATAAAATATTTTTGCCTATAATTATGTTGTTTCACACATTATTTCCTTTGCAATGAGACTCGTATAGTCGTACACAGTATCTTTTGGTTAGCAATTTACATGATAATAAGCGTATTTACTGTATTTAGTAGTCTTGTCTATTGTAAAATAATTTTGAAAATTTATAAAGACTGTGAACAGAGGTCAACGACCTAAAGTTATACGCGCCTTACTTGTTATTACAGAGAATTTCAAAATCAATAAAATGCTTATGAGAATGTCTATAAAATAAAATGATGGTTTCGTAATTCATCGCATCGCATTTACGATCACCTTTTTGCAAACACGAGCTTTAAGTGCTCTTACGCGCTCAATTAAAAATAATTACCGAAATATTGTGCTCTATAATAATCACACTAATTTCGCAAATAAATTTGTTCTTTAATAGTATTTGTTCTGCGTAAAGACTGCTACAGGTAATAAATATAATCAATTTTAACTGTTTTTAGTATAATAAAGCATAGGACGAAGAGCATCTGTAAGCAACGTGTGTTGTATGTTTGTATGTGTTTTGAGTAAACGATCGAACGCTATATCACTGAGTTCTACCTATCCCCATGTGACGAAAATCATTTAAGTGTATATTATATAGTTACTAGCGATCCGACCCCGCTTCGCACGGGTGCAATATGCATGTATTATACACATAAACCTTCCTTAAAAATCACTCTATCTGTTAAAAAAACCGCATCAAAATCCGTTGCGTAGTTTTAAAGATCTAAGCATACTATTTTAATTTTTTTTTAAGGGGGGAAAATCATCGAATGTCTGCTCCCGCCTGGGTGAGGCGGGAGAGAGTGTCAGACCTTACTGACTAAAAACCACTCCGTTCCTTCTCCTGCACGTCGAGCCGGAGCCCCGGTTACCCGTTAGGTTCTCCGCGACTCCGAATTGGCATCGGCCTTATTGTGCCCCATCTGTGGTGGTCTGAATCTAAGCATACAAAGGGACAGACAGACGGCGGATAGCAACTTTGTTGTATACTATGTAGTGATATACCAAATAATAAAATATAATAATTTAATTTCCAGCCCCCTTACAATGACGGGTCAGCAGCGTCAGGTTTCATCGGCATGAAACCATCGACGACGAAGGCTCACCTAGTGCGCGCCGTGCTCGAGTCCCTCGCGTTTAGAACTGCGCAACTATACAACTGCGTGCTCAACGAAACTAACTACTCCTTCCATACTATCAGGTGAGTAAAATCATGTTGTGTATCGTGGGACATACTAAATTGATAGATCTGTTCTGAGGGCTTAGTACGAGTTTGAATTACGTTTAAAGTATTCGAAACGAATACGCGTTCGGCACTCTGATTGGCCGGCTGCAATGAACTAACCAAGGCCTCTGATTGGTCGGTTAACTGGAGCCGGCCAATCAGAGCCCTCTGTACTGTTCATCGATAAGTCCCATTGAGACTTAAAACTAGCAGAGCTTACTAGTAGTTATTTTTAATCATGGAGGTAACGCTAGAAGTAATAATTACCTAGCAGTCTACATTTGACTCGCAAAATATTGTATAATATACCTTTTTGTAATAGTGTGTAAGTTTGACATGGTTTATGTATTTATAAGTAGGGACGTTTTGAAAATAAAGTATTCCGAATTTCGACTGACTACGACCTTTATGTCAAGAAACACCTGCTCTCTCTCCTAAAATACCTATATATATTTAAAAATATTAAATAAACTTCATACAACTCCAAACTTGTGGGTGATGACCAAGAAATGCCATAAGTATGTAGGTACAAAAGCAAGCAAAATCCTAAGAATTTCCTTTATTATATTTACAGACTGGATGGTGGTGTGTCAAACAACGATTTCATCGCTCAGTTAGTGGCCGACCTTACAGGACTGCGCGTTGAACGACCGGTCCACGTAGAAATGTCCTCGCAAGGATGTGCCCATATAGTTGGATACAAATTAGGTAAGTTGTCTTATATTCTTATTACCTATAGTTATTCACTAACTGTACTGTTTTAATGCATATTAACTCGTCGAGTACCGGTTTTGTAGACACAATTAAAGAACAATAGGTTGCGGTCACCGGTGACCGCTTGGTGTTTGACAGTTTAACCGTCATAGTTTTGTATTGTTATTACATGCTAAACAATGATTAGTCCTTTAATTGATGCCAAATCATTGTAATCTCTACGTTTCATTGGTCAAAAACTACTTTCAGGTATATGGAAATCGAAAGACGAGCTGAGGAGGTTACGCAAAATCGAGTGCGTGTTCACTCCGCGGACGTATATGAAGAAGTCGTACGAGGTGACGTTCTCGCGGTGGCAGGACGCGGTGCGGCGCATGTGCGGCTGGTACAGCGGCGGCGCGGAGGCCGCGGCCGGCGCCACCGACTGCGCCGCGCCGCTCACGCCGCAGCCCAGCTTCAAACTGCTCCCCGCGCGCAAGAAAAACGGTAGTATATCCAAATAGCGGTGGCTTTACTGCCTCCTCGCCGCCTGCGCCGCGTGCCTTCCCATATACAGATGATACACGTCCTGCAAACACTTAATCAAAGTGCTCCAATACCTCCTCTTCGTGTTACAAGATTTCCGACGCAGCATATAGTGCCAGTCAAACTCAGCTCGTCCGGTGAACTTGTTAATTAAATGAACTTTTTCGATGTACAGTCAAACTGCACGTCGGTGATATCACTAATCTCCAAGTAATGTACTTTATTTCGTGAGCAAAAATGTCGAGTTTCATAAATCGAGTGTAAATATTGAAGTGACGTTAACCATACTACTCAAAGTGGTAATGTGAATTATCGTTTTAGTGCCTGTTAAAATATTTAGATACTGAAATACTGTTAAGCTATATCAAAGATTTATAATCGTTAAGAGAATAATTTAATATTAAATATGATGTAAATAGTACGCCAGAAATTGCGCTTTATTGTAAGTAGTGGTGGTATACCCGGTGTTTGTTACGAGTATTTGTCACGAAGGAGCGTATACGCACATTTACGTACAAATACGTACGTATCCGTGACATCAACACTGAAAACAGGCCCGGAGTCAAACCCTTAGGTGTCTTAGGTATCTATATGCAATATTCCCGCTCAAAGGTTGGTGATTGGTGTTAGAAAACGTATGTTTGTAAAATTACATCTTATAAATTGTTATTTCGTAATTTCCACGTTGTAATTACTAATTATTGATTATTGAAATCTACTAAAAAACTCTTTCTTAATGAGGCCATATAACATAGCAATATCTAAATAATTTTGACCATTTCAAAATTCTAATATTGAACTGTCACACATTATGATTTTGTATTTAAAATGAAATACGTATCTGGTATCAGAAATAGAAATAAAATTATTTAAATATGTTTAATAAACGTATACTTATTAGTATTTATTTAATATTCAAAAACTGATTAAAGGATTAAAATAAAAATGAATTATGCGCAATTTTGCGCAACTCTCTTGCGCAATTTTCATTAAAATTTGACATTGTAATTTTGAACATGACGTTTATGTTGATATTGAATGATTTTTAGGATACAAGTATTTGATGTCGGCTATTATTTGGCTATTATTTTAATTGAATTTCTATCTTGCCAACAAACTGACTATTGCCTTATAATTTTTAAGTTTATTAGAAATAAGTGTATCGGTTCTGTCTAGTGAAAAAGTTGTATGTCTGTATGGTGTATGATAAAATGTCTTCACCTAGTGATTCTTCCTGCTCATTCTATAGCTATATGGTTTACATAGGTATCCCCAGGCTGTAATCGTGAATATTAGAAAGACAATATTTTATATTCCTTTGTAAGTAGATAGATAGCAATTACAAATTGTTACCTCTGTTATGCAGCTAAATATATCGTTCCTATTTAAGTTACTTTATCCAATTTGAAGGTTTTTGTACGAAATCATTGTTTTTATTACCTGTTTTGAATTATTATAGTATTATCTTAAGTTTTCATGCTCATGGTAACCATTGACCGGATTAATCGCATATATTTAGATTTCGCGCGTTTTCTAAACGTCAACAGCACAGATTTAAAATATACGCGATTCAGCCAGTCATTAAACTTTTTTTATAAGATAGAAATAGGTTTTAATTCAGCGATTTTAAATGTAGACTAAGTGAAACTATTCTTAATAATTTTGTATGATCTATCTCTATTAATGTAGTTAGGAAATTTGTTTTAGACAAACAGTACATTGTTTACTTGAAATATTTTTTATTATTTGACCTAATTAATGCAATATGTGGACATCGAAACCCTGCCGTGTGGCAGCTAGTTTAGTAGACAGAAAGTTTATCATTATTTTATTTATCGTGACATTGTAAAAAGATTATTTAAAAAGTAAATTCTATAAAATGCCAAGTTAATAGTATGTTGTTTTTTTCCTTCCTCTATTATCTGTAGTGCTGTATATTCTTAATTATTTTTATGAAAATAAATAGTACAAATGAGACAATGCCTGATTTAGTTTCTGTTAACAGTTTAACTTATTGAACATGCGCTGAAATACTCAAACGCTACTCAATTTTAAGTCGCGCTTAAGTCACTTCTGTCGCTACAAATTCTTTGTAAATGACAGAGACGGCACGATATTTAACACGTTAACCGCCGAGTAGGTCACCGGTGACCTACGTTAGCGGAGAATTTGCCTTCATCAGTTTTGTGTCGGCAGTCAAAGGCTTAACTACACGTTAAAATTGAATACCCCTTTAGTATTCTGGTGTTAGTCTAACAGTAGCTTAATCTAACGTTAACCCTTAACCCGTCGCTTACCTAAACGTCCATCCACGCGAGACACAATGTATTTTGTATTGTGTATTATATTCAAGCTATTAAGTTATCATGAAAAAGCTTTGAAATAAAAGAATAGCTCACATAGATGAAAGAATAACATTCCGCTTATGGAAAATATATCAGAAAAACAGGTAGTAAATTGAAATAATTTATTTAAATTACAGGACACACTTTAAATTAAATAGGCATTATGGGCCTTTGCTATGCCTGAGAAACTGACACACTACAATAGCAATCATACAATCAGCATTTCTACTAAATTATTATTCCAGAAATAAGTAAGGACAATATACTAAATTCTACTTAAGATTTATCTTCACCACTCGCGATTCCTCATTTTGACGTTTGCCTTTCCATATTTCAGCTGCGAAAATTGCGAGTGAACATAAGGACCCAATGAATAGAATCGTAAAAGCAACGCATTGGTCCCTCAACCTTATTTTGAACAAAGGTCGTGGAAGGCTGCGGTTGTCGTCTGTAAACAATCTAGGTATGTCCAGCATCTGCTGGGTCCACTTGTAGTACATTGTCGGAAGACCAGCTTCTTGTAGACGCTCCGTGAAATATTGGACGTCTTCGAAGAATGGAAAGTCTAAGAAAGAAGAATTTTCATCATTTTTTATTCGAGTACACAATACCTAATTATTTTTAAGGGGTTTCTGCACAATCGAGCAGACCCAACATCTGATAGTGCATTGCTGACCTTTTATGGAGAGAAGGGTAATTGAGGGATCACCCTCAATTACTGCTGCTATCATAGCAGCGCAGAGATAGAGATAGAGAGAGAAAGAAGAAAAAAAAGGAAGGAAGGGGAGAAGCGAGGGAAGAGGGGGGAGGGGTGAAAGTGTAAGTAATTTGTGATAAACATTTTGCACTTACCTGACCGCGCAACGTATGACAAATAATACGTGTAGAAACATTCGTCCACTATGTCGATCATAGGCGTACCAAATCGATCTGTGTAGTTCTGCATAATCTGCATTAAAGCGTCTGATTTTCTGTCTATAGTGGCTAAATCTGGACGATGCATTAGTGTACCTGGAAATTGAAACAAAGTTATAAATTAGGTTACAGTTTTGTACACCATCTTGTATAGTTAATAGGGAGGGAATCTGTATAAGTAATGTAAGTAATATTAGCTTTGATTTAAAAAATCATAGAAATGATTTAGTACGATGTACTGTAGTGTAGTGTTCTGAATTACTCGCCTATTTGTCCATTAACTGTCACGAATACGCGATCAAAGTACTCTTGCTGCAGCCTGTCCCCAGGATTCTGTAGTTGTTTCATGAATTGCTTCATTGTAGGAGATGTAAACATAGTAGTCTTTGAAGCGTACAGATCTCGTAGCGTTCTAATTTGTCGAAAATGTTTCACTGTTGTGAACACTCTGCTCATGTGACTCTGAAAAGGATTAAGATTAACCAGTACCTATGAAATAACCAGGACATTACTTTGGAGCAAAATAGGGTGTCTTATGGTTTTACCTATGTAGACTTACTTGATATAGAGCTAATATCAGAATTGATCCCATTAGACACGCGCTTCTTATCATCAGAAAAGATTTTGTATTCATCTGCGAATAACCAGTCATAGTTGACAATACACTGGTGTACAAATATCTCCAGAATGTCTCCATCTCTGAGCCGGTCAATGTTTTGTTTATCAGCGCAGTGAGCCATAGGATGCAAGCTATTGCCACCAACACCATGCCTGTCAGAGCCCACAGTTCTGGAGAAAACATATCGAACACACCTTGCCAAATCGGTATGATATCAGGTTTTTTAATTAACGCACACAATTTTTCAGTTTTGACATAATGCAGGTAATAAAGATGTTCATCGGAATATAGTGTCATGAATCGTGAATTGAAGGATATGTCTACCTCATTGCGAATGATACATCCCAACACACCGCTAACGTTGCCCGGAGCCGCGTACCCATAGTTGTCGCAGTTTTCATTTTCCGGCATGGTCAGATTGAACTTTAAATGTGAGAGGATGTCGTGCATCACCATTCCATCTACGCCGCAGTACCCATCAGTAAGCTTTAAATTGTAACACGAGTCATAGTAGCGCATATTCTTGCAATCTTTGATAGATGTAGGATATCTATAAAATATACTTCCTCGCATAGGATAGTCATCAGCCAATTTTTCACCGCTTTCCCTTATAGCCAAATACGTGTTGTGATAGTTAGAATTATTGAATAATTTAACCGATCTATCATATAAACCCTTAGACGATGGACGCTTTCCGTGATAGAGAAGAACTTTTTGTTCGCATGCAAAAGGAAATAAAATAGCAACTCGCATGATTTGAAATCTGTGCCATAGAACATTCATCATTCTTTCTAACAATGATAAGTTCCTCGTGTCCATTGTACCATTCTCGCATTTAAACTTGTCTCCAGTGATGACAATGAACAATACAGACCACCTGGATCTAAAAAAGAACTTCCAAAGTGAAGAGTCCATCATCGTCGGTGTCAAATATTTTGTCATGATTATCACATTGGGGTTATCACTGGTTTTTATAAAGTTTCTGGTGACGTTGACTCTAATGTCTATCTTTGTACCGTACACGCTTATTAAGACCCTCGAGAGATTAGAAAGGCTATTCTTTAAGATGCATGTTTTAATTTCGGGTTGACTGTGCACGTCCATATCGAAGAACACTGTTTGAGAGTAATATTCAACTGGTATTACTATATCATTACAATCTACTTCAACTGGTATGAGTTTGCGATTGAGTTCGGAGATAGAGATCGCGAGAAGGGTGGTCATCACGAAGAGGACTAAAATCTTCATTTTGGATGCTATCTATGTCGACTTCGCCGTAAAACTAGGTATTTGTATCCATTATAAGTTTCACTGTTCTATTTCGTAAAGAATTCGGTAACGAGTGACAGGAATCTCATTGTATAAGTACCTACTTCATGATTACTTTTTGGTGTTAACATAAATCACCAGCAAATGTTTGCTCAGGTCCATCTGATAAAATTGCTATTACGGTTATTAAGGTTGAAGATTTTCATATTGATGGTGACATTCTTCAACAAAAGATATTTGATTTGTGCGCTATCACAAACACAATCTCGTAATCGGTCCTCGAGACGTCAAAATGTGATATGTAATAATTTTTAGATCAATTTTAAATGAGAGCTTAACACGCGACCGTTTACTTACTTTTAGGTGGGTAGACTTGTATTGTAGATGTAGGTACATAGTAACACATTTTTTTTAAGGGGGGAAAATCATCGAATGTCTGCTCCCGCCTGGGTGAGGCGGGAGAGAGTGTCAGACTCTTACTGACTAAAAACCACTCCGTTCCTTCTCCTGCACGTCGAGCCGGAGCCCCGGTAACCCGTTACGTTCTCCGCGACATAGTAACACATTTTAGAATGCTTTTTAGTTTATTTTACACTAGCAGTCCGTCCCGGCTTCGCACGGGGTAGAAATTTTTTTTTTTCAAAATGAAATGTAGCCTATGTTACTCGGGGATAATGTAGCTTTCCAGAGGTGAAATAATTTTTGAAATCGGTTTAGTAGTTTCGGAGCCTATTCATTACAAACAAATAAATAAACAAATCTTTCCTCTTTATAATATTAGTATAGATGAATAGCCTCGAATAGTCATAATAACCTAATTTGATGATCACGGGCAGGTTAGCCTGTGATTTAGAAAATGTACTAGTGCCATAAAAAAACTTCTGTTATTTTCAAGGTGCTATTTGTTGCAAGGTTAATACCATTTTCATGAACTCCTAAGCTAGGATAGGTTACATTAAACGATATTTTGGTTTTTATTAAACCTGCAAGTCACACCAAATGGTAACGGGTTAGTTTGGGTGTTGCCTCACCCTAAGTAAGTCTTAGTTTAGATGAGTTTAGGGGGTTGACGAAAGTGACCATAAGTAATTCATAGATAATATTTAAATAAGGAATTGATTTTGCGTTTCTGAGGCATTGGGTTAACGAAGAGGACTTCGCTGTATTTCTAATCATAGGTTATGAATGCATTAAATTAAATGGGTAGGTACTAACATGGGTCACATTGGCTACTATAATTAAGTACGCCATGCCATTATGCTAAGTTAAATATAATTATGAGTTATGGGAGATAACTTGAGACTTAATCCAATTTATTTTGTCGCTATGACCATTTCTGTAAAATAATAGCAATTTTGTTCTAGTTTCTTTAGTTTTAATTGCCTAGGTACGTATTGCGAGATAAATGAAATTGCTTTATACAAGCCAGTTCTTGAATTAGGGTTGAATTAAACACAATTTGCATTCCAAACATTAATTTATTAAATAAGTACATTAGTTGCAATCAGGTAGATTGTAGACATAAAGTGCAAAGGCAGATAAATCTACACAAATCTTGCTTCCTACTACTAAATTTACACGAAATAAAGTAAAATGTCTAATGTACGGGATTCAGATGTACTCCGGAAAGATTTACATACAATCTTTTAATAATGGAATGAAAAAATTAAAACTGAAAAATGCGTTTATTCAAGGTAACAAACAGAGTTTAGAAAAAATATTAGTTCTGCCAAACTGAAAAACAGTTAGTTGGCAGAGCTCCCTTAAATTCTTACAATAAAATAAAATAATAAAATTAGTAAATAAAAATCTTCTACATCGAAATTCACACATAATATGTAGTTAGTTGGTCAGTAATTTAAGTAGGACATCAACTTAACCTAAATGCACATACATACATACATATATCTCCATATACAACGCCTTAAAAAACTTTGTTGAGAAGAAACTTCACCATTTTGTGACAAAAAGTTTTGTAGTAGGTACAACTACTTTCGAAATCGACTGATATACTATTAAATATTGTTGGGACTGAGCATTTTCTACATCTTTGCCCATAATAATTAACAATAGTAGGTAGGTAGGTACTATGAATCTTCTAATTATTATCTCTCTTTGGGGTCTTTAAAGGGTAGATATCAACTGTACTTACCAGGATCAGAAACTTATTTAGGTGTTAAGTGTAGCAGTTTCATTAATAATTTTAGTAAGACGTCTTCCATTCCATATTTCAACTATGAATATAGCTAAAGAACTTATTACACCAAGAGCCAGTATCGCAAAAGCAACACTTTGATCAGTTAACGTTATTTTCGAGAAGGGTCGTCGTGCTTGGTTGTGGTAGTCTGGTACAGTGTTTGGTATGTCCAGCATCTGCTGGGTCCACTTGTAGTACATCGCTGGAAGACCAGCTTCTTGTAGATGCTGCATAAACTTTTGTACAGTTTCGAAAAACGGAAAATCTGTAGCAGATAAAGAAAAAGTTTTAGGAATGATCAATGACATTAAAATTAATGATAGCTAATGAATTTACTATTAAAATTAATAAGTAGTAATGTGCTTTTGTACGAATTGGGCCGCAAATACGAAGGTTAAAAAGAGAACAATAATTACTATCTAAGCTTGTAATATGAATCTAATAAATATTGTTTTTAGAATCTTTGTAGCTTTACCATCTTTGGAATATTAGGTACATCTCACCTGATCGTGAAATATATGACACGTAATAGGTCCTGAAGCATTCTTCCAATATATCTATAAGAGGCATCCCAAAAGGATCGGAGTAATTTTTGAGGATTTCCATTTCAGCGTCAGTTTTTCTATCTATTGTGGCTAGGTGCGGATTCTCCAGAAGTTTTCCTGTAAAGTTATGTTTCATAACATGCATTTTTCAAATTACCTAGGAACATTCTGATCATAATCAAATCAAGTAACTACTGTGTGTTTATTTGGGGTAGGCAGGCAAACGGTAAACGGTGATCCGTTTATCCGGTGTCCGGTGATGGTAAACATACGGCGCTAGCCATGGACATCTGCAACACCAGAGGGATTTTTGTGGATTGGAGATTTGGGTAATGGGGAGATTGGGGAGGGGAGAAATTGCGCCTTTGTTATGTTCGTGATAGTCCGCAATACAGTGTTAGTAGTACAGGACTGTCATCTCACTCACCGAGTCGTTCCCCTGTCGTTAAAGATGCCTTATTAAAGAATTCACTTTGCAGTCCGTCATCTGGATTCTGTAATTGCCTCATAAATTCTTTCATTGTTGGAGAGGTATATAAACTTGCTCCAGAACTGTATAAGTCTTTTAGAGTTTTTATTTGAGGAAAATGTTTTATTGTTGTATACACTCTACTCATGTGACTCTGAAATAAATCTATTTATGAGATTGTTAACTAAATATTTTTTTGTTCGTGAGTGAGTTATTTCACTTACCTGATAAACAGCTAAAAATAAAATAGATCCCATTAAGCACGCGCTCCTAATCATAAGATATGTTTTGGTTTTCATCGGTGAATATCCGATCATTGTTGATATCACGCTAGAGTACAAATATCTCCAGAATGTCTCTGTCTCGGAGCCGGTCAATGTTTTGTTTACCAGCGCAGTGGCCCATAGGATGCAAGCTATTGCTACCAACACCACTCCTGTCAGTGTCCAGATCTCCGCAGAAAAAAAATTATACACTCCTTGCCAAAGTGGTACCATGTCAGGTCTTTTTATTAAAGCACATAATGTGTCGATTGTAACGTAATGGAGATAATAAATATGTTCATCTGAGTACATCGTCATGAATCTAGAATTGAAGGATATGTCCACTTCGTTGCGAATGATGCATCCAAGTACACCACTCGCGTCGCCTGACCCGTAATTGTTACAAGATGGATTTTCTGGGACGGTAAGATTGAATTTTAAATAAGTCAGAATGTCATGCATTACCATTCCATCCAAACCACAGTACCCGAGTGTCAAATTCAAATTGAAATGCACATAGTAATGCATATTGTCACAATGTTTGATAGACGTAGGAATTCTGTAGAATATACTTCCTTGCATAGGGTAGTCGTCAGCCAAATTGTCACCACTTTTCTTAATAGCTAAATACGTGTCTGTGTTATTCGAGTTGTTATATATTTTAATAGATCTATCATATAAAATATCGGAAGATGGTTGCTTGCCGTGATAAAGGATGATTTTTTGTTTACATGCACGAGGGAATAACAAAGCAACACGCATAATTTGGAATTTATGCCATAGATAGTTCATAACATTCTTGAGAATTAGAAAATCCTTTTCTGCCATCGTGCCATTGGTGGTACACTTGTATTTTTTTTCGCCAGTAACGATCATATAAAGTACAGACCATCTGGATTTAGAGAAGAACTTCCACACTGGAGAGTCTATTACCTTCTTTGTCAAATATTTCGTCATGATCATCACGTTAGGGTTATCACTTGTTCTTATGAAAGTCCTTGTTACATTGAGCCCGATGTCTATGTCTTTACCGAACACGTTTAATAAGATCACGGTGTGGTTTATGAGGCATTCTTTCAGGATACATGTTTTTAACTCCGGTTGACCAAACACATCCATATCGAAAAGCACTGTCTGTGAATAATGTTCAACCGGTATTACTATATTGCATTTCTTTACTAATGGCACGAGTTTAGGATTGGGTTTAGAGAAAGAGATGCCGAAAACGATCATCGTCATGAGCAGAACAAAGGTCTTCATTTTCGCTACAAGAATGGAGAAGAAGAGAATATCTAAAAGAGAGTACTTGTTAGATTAATCCTTCAACCATTAAACATAGATAAAAGAGCTAGAACGACTTTCTTGGTTTAATATAGGTGAAAAGTTTGTACTGATCATTATCGAGTGTCACAAAAATCACTCGAACATGTTTGGCAAGTACCTGATAGCATTAAAAAACATATTAAAAGTTGAAGAGAAAGTACACACACTTTAGTAATCACCTCTTGGGAAATATAATTTGATTTTCTAATTCATGAATGTAAATGTACATTAATATTAAATGTGTATGGTGTACCGCCATACAAATTCTGGCCTTGTCATTATTTGACAGCGTTATATCAATCTTTTACATAGGCACTATATAAGAACGCTAGACTTGATAGGTACAGCCATTAGACCACCACAGATACGGCCCAATAGGGTTGATGCCGATACGGAGCCGCGGAAGACTTAACGTGTTGCCGGGGCTCCGGCTCGAAGTGCAGGAGTAGGAACGGGGTTGTTTTTAGTCAGTAAGAGTCTGATACTCCCTCTCACCTCACCAGGGCGGGGGAAGTTATTGTATGATTTTCCCCTCTCAAAAAAAAAAACTTGGTACCTATCAAGTCTTTATATATAGGTAGGCACATATACTATCTCCTGATTTCACAATATTAATACAATGGAACTCTAAAAACATTTACTTTTTATGTTAAAATCAAGATTTACACTCCTTATAGATGTACGAATTAGCATGTTGTTATATCAATAACAGAATATGGTATATAAAGTATCTTCGCTGTAAATTGTAAAGCCATTGTCACGAACAAGTCGGGAATGGCAAAACTCTTAATATTTTTAATATTTGTGGCTATACTAGCGACTGTAAGAGGACGGAGTTCTGATGGACTGCTGTTGAACCCAGAATTATTGAAGAGTGCTATAGAAATTCGGGTTGGAAACGACTACATGGATTACAGTCCGTACCATTCGTTTTTGTTAAGAGAAGTCGCTGAAATTCCCGTCACTCCCGGCAGTATTTTGGAAATTATGGAAAATCGTGTTTAAAACATGGACTTTTGCGGGAAAGAAAAATGTAAGCAGAAAGAAGACTTTTTATGATCGTGTGAACCCAAATTAGGACTTACGTATTTAGGCGAATTGATATTGTTTAGTTTACTTATCTATTTATTTTTTTAATTGTCTGTAGTTCTATGTAATATTTACTTATTTTTTATATAGGTACCTTGTGTAAGTAAAATTATTACTTAAGTAACGATGTTATTATACAAAACAATGTTTGTAAAATAGTGTAATTGAGTAATTTTAAAATAATTTAAGATACAACTCGAAAAAACAATAAAGACATTCGGTTTGACATGTTGTATGATTGATTTCTTTCTTGGTTCCAATTCATTAAGGTGTCACAGAGATGATTAATGCTTATTGCAAGCTTCATTTTTTATCGAACCAGCATCATCCTGTTTATTCTTTTGTTCTTTTTACAATTTTATTTATTTATTTTATTTTACATACATACCTACAGACTAACATGCTTTTTTTGAGGGGGAAATCATCCAATCACTTCTCCCGCTTGGGTGAGGTGAGAGGAAGTGTCAGACTCTTACTAACTAAAAACAACCCTGTTCAAATCGTAGCCCCGGCAACCCATTAATCCTTCCGCTGATCCATATCGGCATCAGCTCTATTGGGCCCCATCTGTGGTGGTCGGAATGTAATTTATTCCGTGAGGGTAGGCAGAAACCAAAACCACAAACATTATGATCGCAGCTGTCGAATCTACAAGAATTTTCCTTTTTTAATTTATAGTTTCTAGCTAATGTTTTGATTACACTAAATAACTTGTAAATATATAAAAATAAAAATATGTTTGTAATTTGGTTGAGCAACGGTGGTGGATTCAATTCTCTGTCTGAAGGTAGTTTGATCACCAAATCAAACAACAACTGGATACATGTATCTCTAAATAGTATCTATACGAGTCGATCGGCCTGACACTACAGTTATCATTGCCCCACTTATCTGGAGGGTGCCCTACACTATGTTTGCTTAGACGTAGTTTCCATTCCAGAACAATAACATAATATAACATCACGCCTATTATCCCCGAAGGGGTAGGCAGAGGTGCACATTATGGCACTGAATGCCACTGTACAATGTAATACACACTTTTCACTATTTTTGTTATGAGTCCCATGTTATTAGCCTATTACCATAAAGGGCACAATTAGTAGGGGAGCCCACGATGCTAAATTTGGATTTACTTGAGCGTCGTTGGGACCTACTGGATTTTGAAGATATGCTGATACAAAGAAGAAATGGTTTAGTGACAATTTCTTCCACCGGTGGGGGAAAGGGGAAACCACAGATCTTTGAAATTGTTAAGCGTAACTTTTGTTCTAGTGGTCGAGCGTGTCAGATATTGATAGTGTACATGCTCCATGTGTATTTAATAATAAAAAACTCTTAATCTGCCAGTTTGTATGGTGGGGTTGAATGTTCTGAAGAGTACAAACGAGAACCCTTCAAAATCCCCCCACTCTTGCAAATCAAGTTGGAATGGGCAGATTTTTCAAACGCACTTCCTTTAGCATGGTATTGACCTACCTTCCCTTAATCTGACGAAACTGACTTTATTTAGTCAGACTTTTTTTAAAATTTTTCATACCCCCTTCTAATCAGATCGGATATATGGTGGGTATATTCAACATGACACAAGGTTTTCCCCATATGTTAATCTGACGCGCTCGAGTATCTACCGAAATCCCTTCATGGGCTCCCCTACTAATAGCAGAGAACAGAGATATCTGGATTCCAAATAAAGACTTAACTGGCTTCTAACTAGTATAGCGACTGTTAATAAGATAGGACGAATTCAAGACCTAGGATTCTTATGCCACCGTGAAGTTTTGATTGAACACGATACTCAAGTTCTTGTTGGTTGGTGATCTAGTACTGGTATTTTTAGGTCCATTTCTGCTGATACAAGTTTTAGTTTACTAGCTAGCTCATAATATTGTCTGTTAAAAACCCAAGTGCCTTCAATCAGATTACATTTTTGTGTACCTGTACTCGCGTAAGGGAGTCGAAGCCCAAATCGCCCCTTCCCTTCATGAAGTGCTTGATACACTTGAGACTTTTGTTTAACGTTTGTTTAACGTAATAATAATTAAGGTTTTGATTAAGGAAGGCTGCATTCATTCCCAAACGTGTCACTAGGCTTGTTAGGCTTGGTTAGCCCCATTGGAGAGCCTAGTACCGCTAACGACTTTTACAAGGGAGTAATATTTATACTCTAAACTCGTGAATGATATATAAGATATGAACATTTTAGTTTGCTATTCTACTTAGAACATATATCACTGATCAACATGAAGTTACATTAAAGGGAACAAAAGTGAGGCATTAAACACATTTAAATACAAAAATACATTTATTTCATAAAAAAATATAATACAATAAGTAATTACATAAAACAAATATAAAAATTAACACGTTACATTTAACGAGTGGGTAAAATACAATTTGAAATAATATTACCTAAAATTCAGAGTCAATTTGCAAATTCCAAAATTATTTAAGGTACAATAAGTTGCCAATAAGGTACATTGCCGATTAATAACTAGTCGCATTACACACGCACTAGTACTTATATTTCAGCAATCCGAAAGTTCATAGCAACTTGTTGTATCGTAAAACACTTAGTTTAAAATTATGTAGTTGATTAGCCTACCCAGGTGGGGAGGAACTTGATCCTGCGGCCGTCGAGTCCCGCTTGACCGTTGTCAAACAGGAGACCGTCGTAGTTAGCCAGCAGGTCGTTGCTTGGGTTGTCTCCACGAAGTGCAGACCTCTTCACCACCGAGTGGGCAGGCTCTTTGGTGTCAACTGTGGGTGTAGTCGCATCGTCCACGAGGGCCACCACGGCTGGTACCTCTTCGATCACTTCTATCACTTCAAAAACTGGTGTGCCATCGTCAGATGTTGCTGTGGTCGTCTCAGCCAGCTGCTCGGTAGTCGCAGGAGCAGCGTACGCACAGCTCAGTAGCGCAAGCGAGAGAAGAATAATCATTGTTGAAGCCATGATCTTGGATGCCTCTAAGTAACTTCTCCGCGATGATTTGGGAATAATTCCCAGTTGATTGTATACGTTGAGCGTCTTCCGATGCTTACTTGTGTTTATGATTTTTCAGCCTGCATTCTGGTTATATACTATTAATAAAAAGGTGCTAACAAAAATTATCCAGAAATGGGCATCATTGACGCGTATCGTACCTGTATTGTTAATAGGAGGAGCAAATATTCTCAATAACATAATGACCATGAATACCCATTGTTGTGCACTATATTGAAAAACGATGACAAACAATTGGTTTACTTTAGTGATTTGTGAGTAAAAACGCATTTTGTAACGTGAGACGCGCATCCTTCCGTTTAATGATGAGTAAGGCTGAATGACATGTTGTATTTACTTTAGTCTTACTGCATTGTAATCTGTGTAAATCAATTGTAAGATACTGAATTCTGATAAAAAATATTGAATCATATTATGATTTGTGTTCTTTGAAATTGATTCACGCTTCCGTAAATATGATTGGGTATTTATCTGTTCTTAGAATATATTGTTTGTTTAATATTACTTATGTTATTTATTTATTCATTTATAGGAATACTAGTAGCTTCTTGACGATAGCTAACTGTTCCCATCGTATTAGCAGTTGATGCCGGTTGTTATTTATACGTAGTTCCATTCTTTCCAACAGGCTCAACCCATATTACATGGTACTCATAACATAAATAGTGTTACATTGTACAGTGGCATTAAATGCTCTGTTCTGCCTACCCCTTCGAGGATAAAATACGTAATGTTATGTCCATTATTTTGTAGATATTTATGTTTCTATTTGTCCTCCAAGGCCAGGTATTGTATGGGTACAGTACTACCTTTTTACCTATCAATAATATATATACTTAGACGCATTTGATCTATTTAATGAGGTACGAGAGACTTTCATAGAATATTGCAGATATTTAATAGAGCCCAAGTATGGGACATCAACATAATCCCTTCTGCCAATTTAAAAAATGTCTTAAAGTTTCACAGATTTTTTTATTTTTAAGGTGGGAAAATCATCGTATGACTGCTTCCGCCTGGGTGAGGCGGGAGGGAGTGTCAGACTCTTAGTGAGTAAAAACCACCCCGTTCCTACTCCTGTACTTCGTACCGGAGCCCCAGTAACCTGCTAGGTTCTCCGCGACTCCGTATCGGCGTCAGCCCTATTGGGCCCCATCCGTGGTGGTCTGATGGCTGTTTGAGAGAGAAGGCACCCCAGTCCCCCTCGCTCCGCATCATGGCCCGCACTAGGGCCGGATGCGAGAGGTCGCTGATCACGTCCCTGAGGGCACGACGGCGCTCAGCCCACGAGATTGGAGCGGGTTGATATATGAGTTTTCAAAACTGGTAATAAGCAACAGCAACGCAAAGCGTCCGCGTTCATGGGTAGCACTGATGATTTGGACCTTTTAGAGCTCGCTGCTCGTTTGCCCTCTATCTAAAAAAAGCCTTTACCAATTTGTGTGTCGATTATATGCTTGATTATAGCCCATACTTTTGTTTCAGTTACATGATGGCAGAAAGTTTAAAAAGTGTTAATGACTATCCTCATACATATTTCTTTGACTTCTTTGACATTCGACTGTCAATGAAGACTGCATCGTTGGTCGATTCGTCACAAGTGCGACTGCCGGGCAAGGGCTCTCGGGTTCGATTCCCCGGTCGGACAAAATATTAGTCGTTTTATTTTTAATTCTCAGTAGTAGCACGGAGACTGGATTTATGCCCGGTATGTGGCAATACGCTCAACCCCTATTAAATGGGACTCATAATATAAATTGTGAAAAGTGGGTGTTACGTTATATAGTGGCATTAAGTGCCGTAATCTGCACCTCTACCTATCCCTTCGGGGATAAAAATGTGTGATGTAATACGACATTTTGACAGACAGTTATTTTCTTTGACATTCATGCTCTGGTAATACAAAAACACTAATAGAGAGTACTGGCTCTTATCGAAAATCTTTTAAATAAGTCAGCATACGCTATACTGTCAAACACCAAGCGGTCACCGGTGACCGCAACCTATTGTTCTTTAATTGTATCTATAATGATGGTACTCAACGAGTTAAAGGCAAGAATCCCACCAGATTTATCACCGGCGTTCTTTCCAATGGTCCTATTTTCTTACACTCTCTCGTCACGTCCAAACGCTTAAATCGCTACTATATTTTGTACCACAAAGTTCGTCATCATTAACGACCTTAAATGAAATAAATAAATTTCATCTTAAACCAGAGCCTTGAAGCATCACTAGATGAATCCTACATTAAGGCTATGGATGCTGCATAATTATCAGATTCTGTAGGTTAATGATAAGTAGGAAGCTAACTTACAAATAACAGACACAAGTTGCCAGGCATGTTAGGGTATTGTAGTTAGTTCTGTTATCGGCTTTTCGAGGTTGTTGCTATATTTATCAAAAATTGTAACGTATCGAAAACAATTTGTTTAGCTAGAATATAACAAACATTAGCGTACACCATAACCAGAGCGTTTTTATTTATCTTAACAATAGTATTTCATGGAAGCTGGCCAGTAAGTTTTGAAGTTTCATTGTACAATTTTTAGATATAAACCAAAATTGTATAGAACATGGTTAATAAATAAGTTATGTTTACGACTTGTTTTAGATGTACCTACGTGTGAACTTGCTTTGTTGCCCTTTATTTTTATCAGTTATCAGTATCGTTTGGCGTCTCATTAGCATGTGTCCAGAGCCAAGGCTCATAATGAAAGGATCACTAACGTGTGTTTTCAAGCGCCGTTGTTGTGTGATCGTGCGTCAGTACTGTTCTAAAAATAATAGCGCGCATTATCTGAGTGTGCACTTTCAATAAAACATAATAATTTTTGTCAGCAATAGATTCACATATAAGGTGCTTTGAAGTCAACGAAGGCACAGTTCACTTTTAAGCAAATCCAAGAGCAAGATAGGATCTTTCGGGAATGCATTCAACACTATTTTTCGTCGCGTCGCTGGCGCTGCTAGCGCTCTGCGTGTGCGCACCCGCCGATCAGGATGTGATCCAGCACATCCCGCTAAAACCCGAACAAACACCATCAGTTATAGGAAAAGACGATGCGGTATCTGGTGCTTCGGGAAAGGCTGTTGGTGCGTCTGAGCACGTGCCGCAGAGAGCTCGCCGTGAAGTCGCTGGCCAGGAAAGTGACCTGCTCCCCGCCATCAACGACGTTGACGTCTCACCCTTTGGAGAGACATCGAACCTTGAGGGCCGTGGCCGCATCAGGGTGCTGCCTGCATACCTCGGTTGAATAACCTAATCGCCTGCAGATGACACTAACACCACATCGGAATGATCAAGTTTACGAATATTATATTTAAGGTTGTATAAATGTATCATATAGGACTATAAACAAGCTTTTTGTTTACAAATGTGCATAACGTTTTGTACATTTTAGTTTAGATTCTATCAATAAAAATAGTTAAGAATGAATGTCTGTTTTTCATTACATTCCTCGTTTTTAAATGATATATTATTTTCTAGTCGTTTAACAACAGTGTGATAATGTTCAAAGGTATCGCTAAGTTAATTAATAAGATTATCATGAATTTACTAATTTACTGGAAGAGCTATAAAATGCAAGACTTCCTGTTAATGGTGCCTGTCTAATTATTATTATCTTTGCTTTCATAATGTTATTCATTTTGGTCACATTATCTGTAAGTGCGGTCAACTTAGTTTCTTCTCTCAGTATTCTAGAAACGAATAACGAACAAGATATTTCAAATATGACTATATTCGAAGACGGCAGAAAAACTGCAGATTTGGTTAATAAAAGAGATATAAATATAGAAGATAATAGAGGTGAGGAGGATAATATAAATGATGTGAATGATAATAATAAAGAAATATTTGAAGCCGCCGAGAGCAGCAACCTAGTTTATCGACCACTCTTCGTATATAGAAAAATTCAACATAGTAAACGAAGAATCACCATGTTTAATTCCTTCGCTGGATAGCTTTTAAGGTAATTAGAATTCCTATTCTTATTCCATAATAAATACTATGTATGACCCCGTTATTTTCAAAGCAATAAAATTCTCTTTCAATTAAGGTAGTTGAAATAATTAACAAGTCAATAAAACAGTAACGATCAAGTAACTAATTGAAAACATAACAATATTGCCATTTAGTTCATTCTCTGTGGTTGCGGAAGTAAGGAAAATGGTTTTATTTCGAATTTGGGCCGTAGTTTTATTACTATTCGTAAGTTATTTTAATCTTACGCTCTGTAGATATACTTCACTCATAATACTCAATTTAACTTATTATTTTTAGGTTCCTGATTCGTATGCAGGAATATCGCCAGTGCACGATTTCAAGGAAAAGCTTATTGGAAGTCCCAAAGGATTTACTGAGAGATTTTTATTGACCTCTCCTCACAATGCTTTGAAACATCTTGACAATTCTATATTGAAAGCAACTAAAAATGTTACCCAAAACCCAGAAATGGATGACAATCTTTACCAAATTGCAAAGGACATGGTGTCTGCTATACTATCTAAGCTAGAAATACAGGACAAAATAACTAGGATTACTAGAGAAGCGCTAGAAGCTCCCGGCAAAAATAAAGGCATAACTGCTATAGAGACTAGACGTATCTTGGACTACATTTCTAGAACATTGTCTGGGCATATACTTACTATAACCAGAGCTTCTACTGAACCAGAACTTCATCGATTGGTATACGGACTAGCACAGATTGCAGCAGAAGTGTCAATTGTATCAGCGTTGAAAGATATTACGTACCCTGCAGCGTTATCTAAAAAACAGTCTGTTGATTTATCTCTACGTCGAAAAAGGGCTATATCTAGTGGAGTAGAAAACGCAATAGCGACTCCACCTCCCCCTATTGAAGTGACAGCTTCTAACACAACCCAAAATAAAAATGCTAATAATACTACTGATACTTTATCTATGAAAGCTTCACCATATTCAGTATTTTTCAAAAATGATAAAAAGCCTGTTCATGTCCTTAACTCTAAACCGAATAAAGTGGTTTCGATAAAAGGCTTTTTGAATCAAACTGCTTTAGATTTGGAAAACAAAGAACAAGCAAATAATTACACAGATCCTATTCTTATAGAGAAATCTTTAAATGGAACTCACTATGTAAAAGAATCACAAACATTGGATACCCAAGAATTTAGTGCTCCCGGTCTGATTGATGACTGGATGGATAACAAGGAAACTGTATATAAGCCAATAAATCCTGAAGTGGTTGCTGATATGGAAATTGATCAGCCCGAATTTGAAGACGAAACTGGCAATGAAAAGAGAACGAAACAAAAACAAGAAAGGCTTGAAGTGAAAGCCAAGAAAGCTATATTATATGCCGGTGATGTGGCGTATTTAACAGCAGCAAGCGTTGTTGCTCTTAGACGTGCTTTAACTGCGTCTATTGAAGTACAGATGTCGGTGAGGTACGCTAAAAATGGTATGTCAAATCATCAGGAACTAATGATGAACTTGGCAAAGACGGCTGCTCAACAAGCGGGGAAACAGGCAAAGAGTGCGACTTCTAAATCTTTAGCTTGTGAACGAGTGATAAAATTGGCACTCAAGTATACGGCGCAATCACATGGAGCCAATTTGAACCATGTTGCGAATAGAATTGTGATGGATACTTTATCACTGGCTACACTGGCAAAATCCATGGCATTTGTTTCTTCTGATATAGCAATCAATTCGTTGTATCAAGCTACTGATGTGAAACCACCAACATAATGGAATATGCAATCCCTTCTCATTATAAAACTAATATTTTTCATCTCATACAAAGAGTTTAGTTACCTATTGTAAAATTGAATATTCATAGTTAAATGCTCTAAATAAATGAAACAGTTAATGCCGAAGTGTATTTATTTAACATCACATTGGTTTTATTATTATGCGTAGGTATTGGTGGCAAGTAGTCGTAGTTGATACCAACTATGCTACCAGGCGCTAGCATCAGTCTTCAAGTTAGAATGTTCAGGGGTTGGTGATCTTAGTAGGTCTTCAAACTTTAGTGGTGCTGGTTCCACTGGCACTATTCCAGCTGCTAAGTCACCTCGGAAGGCTTTTCGTTCTTCCACCGGGATGGAGTAACATAAACCGAGGATAACGATGATTATTGCTAGTTTCGTGATCTGTGGAAGGTCAATTGAATGGTAAATTTGAGTATTAGTAGAGATGTGTTGTATAGGATTATAATTAATTACATGCATAATAAAATAAAGGGACGAACAAATTTTAAAATAATGTCAGAAAAGAGAAGTATTTCAATCTTTGTGCGTATTCAGTAAAGATAAGTTTAATACAATTTGTTCATATGATGTGGGAAAGTAGAGCTTTGTCCACATTAACAACATTCCATTGAATATAGCTAGGATTGAATTGATTGAATCTGTAAACACAGACAAAAAAGAACTATAATATTTGTGTAATACTGCTACTATTTACGCAATTCACGTTACAATGTACTATTTGAGGTACCATTTAGTTTTCAGACTTACACAATGTGTATGCAGTTAATATAATATGAGGTAAGTAGCGATACGATAACTCGGTCTAATTGCATTTATCCTCGCAAACCTAACGCTTTAGTGTCAATACAAAAATCATCAAAATGAGACATACCAGTACATATCAGAAATAACCAGTAAAACACAATTACTGGTCCTTTTTCTACAATAAATTAAATGTAATAATGCTTGTCAAGTTCATCAATCACATGTTTCATAAATCTCCTATATGGTGATGATAAATTGACGCTAAAAGAATGTCGCATTCCATGTATGATAGTTGTTAATTGTTAAGGTACGTTACGTTTGGTATATTGTTTTGCCTTTTGTGGTTATCGAGGTGATAATCAGAGGCGTGTGCACAAATCGTTTAGTTATTTGTGACTTGAGAAAAAGAGTATAAGTATTTATTAAATTAATAATCAAATAATCGTGACTCGACTGGTCGCTATGCGAACCGAGTAAGAGGTTTTTAGAGCGAAGTATCTTTTAGGTAAATTCACAGTAAGAATCACTAAGTACAACACAGAGTCTAAATTATGCTAGGTTTTTGTATAAGGCACAAGGTTTGCCTCCTTAGAAGCCTAATACAAAGATACTGATATCATTTGTCGGATCCCTTAAGTTGATTAATTACTTGACAAACAAAAGAATAGGATAGTCGACCACTAATAAAATAAGCCGTACTTATTTAATTTTAATGTAGTGAATATTTGTGAATATTACTGAATGTTTATTGGCTTACCATTTTGAATATTTTTCCTTGTGGTCAGTAAACTTGAAACTTTGTAAAAAGGTTTAAGGTTTATGTGGGTTCCTGCGATGGGTTCACTTTATATATCCCCCATTTTTGTTTGTAAAGATAAGAATAAAATGATTTTTTTGGCATTCCTGATCATCTCTTAGGCTCTAGACAGACGGACTGCATTTTAAACGCAAATTGCAGTCCGATTGCAGCTCTATTGCAGTCATGACCAAACGGTTGTAAACCAAACGAACGTAGATAGCAGACACAATCTTCTTTGTGAAAAAAAATGTGGTAGCACGTAAAATTTTTGTCACAATTAATTTTGACTGTAAAAGAAAAGAAAATGTAATTGAATGACACGGGCACGGACAAGAGTCCGTGGAGAAAATGAAATGTAATATAATAAAAAAAAATCAAACGAACAGTCTGATTGTAATCGTTTCAAATGCATTCAAACTTCATCCGGACTGCAAATTGCAGTTGGATTGCAATTGCAATGCGGTTCGTCTGTTTAGAGCCTTAGGGTATCAGTAATACGTTGTAGCAATAAACTATAACTTAAAAAATAAATAACCTCTTTGTATACCTAACTAAAAAATAAATAATGCTATCAAATTACAAAACATTTTGTAAAAAAGTTTATTCTTACTATCGGATTATGCAAATTCAAAGGTAGAGACCATTTGTTGTTGAGATTATTGTTATAAGGTTTTATACTTGCAAAAAGTCTTGCATATATGGTTTTTGCTTTCCGTGCAATACATAGGATCATGGGATCTCGGATTTAATCCTCATTGGGCCAAGATTTTTCAAATAATTTTAGTGAGTAATAGCACACGCAGAGTTTGATACTGTGTTTGGTATTTTGGTATACCTATGGCAATAAACTCCCAGCTCCTTTATGACATCTATAACCTGACCCTTTGAAAAGATTATGATTCTCCCACTGAGCGTTGTGATAACAGCAAACTACTCTTTAGTAATAGTTAAATATTTTTTTATATTTACGTCTGAAAACCATTGTGGCTAGTTTTATTTATGGAATATGGCCGGTAAACGAGCATACGGATCACCTGATGGTAAGCAATTGGCGCCGCCCATAGACAATTGAAACACTAGAGGTGTTACAAGTGCGTTACCGGCCTTTTGGGAATTGTGAGACTGGGAAGGGGGGGGGGGTATAGTTAATTGGGCCTCCGGTAACCTCACTCACACGACGAAACACGACGAAAAGCGTTGTTTCACGTTGGTTTTCTGTGAGGCCGTGGTATAGTCTAGTCTTCGTCGAGCTGACCCATTCGTGCCGAGGCATGGCTCACCCACACTTAAAACTGGTGCTGAATAAGTGTTTTTTCTTTCTTTCTTAGTAAAAAGTATCAATTATATGTCTACCAGTGCACTATCATAGGGTGTTGATGATCTAAACAAACCTATTCACAATCTGAATACTACCAGGTGTTAGTTAGCTGAACGCATTACAATCTTTATTCATGTTGAGTAAACTACTTAGGTACTAAGAGGTAAAACTCGACAGTACAATATTTGAACAGCAATTACTTTTAATAGAGTAAATCCACATGTATCATAGTCTTCTGCGAACTTTAGTTACTTTGTATGATACCCGGAACTAGGTAATCTGGAATATCCATAAGCATCTATGAAAGATAGGTGACTAATTAAATGATTGGCTCCTTTGTTTAATTGCTCGTAGATCTACATAGGTAACGGTTTTCGATATTTTAATAATTGGTTGATGGAAGTAATCATATGCGTCATTTTAAGTTGACATACTTCCGTAAAGCTATGTATTAGAATCTTTAGACATCTTTTTGGTCCAGTTTTTGTATGGTTCATTAAAAAACGAAGAGCTTATAGATGTAAGCGACTGAATAAGCAGTCATACGCCCTATACAAACTCGCAAAAGAAGTAAACCAGAGTATTGTCATCACGGCGTATCATGCATGTGTGACATCGATATTACGATATGGTATTATTTTTTGGGGTAGTTCCTCGAATACAGACATAGTATTTAAAGCACAAAAGAGATGTGTTAGGGCAATA